GGACTTTCTTCCATTATCCGAACGAACGAAAGATGCGTGTTGTGGCGCCTTGACACCTCGCCTCTATATACTCGTCGATATCGGCGACGATTACGATCGATTGTAATGGCGGGCGTTTCCGCGACTCGGATCATCATTTCTCCCTATCAAGTTCTACTCTTGAGTCAGAAATGAAATTGTCGGCTTTCAGAAGGCTGATCCGCAAGCTGTTTTTTTCTGGTTTACTTGAAATGCGACAAAACGAGGAACCCTTTATTTTATAATGCAAACGTTCTGAAGATAACGAAAAAAAGGGGGGAAAAAAGCGTTGAAGCTTCGCGATAGAAGACGTCCGCGAGTTATAAGCTAAATGGTTTCTCACCTCGTATAGACACGACAGGCTGAATTATTAACTCGCTTGTCGCTGGCCATTCTGCGCCTGTCCTCGAAGAAGTCTTTGAGCGCGGTGACGCCCAGGACGAAGAGAACCGGGATCATGGCGATTTCCTTGCCGAAGGCGTTGATCGCCGGCACCCAGTTGAGCAGCACGATGAAAATGAAGTAGAGATTCGCCACGCGGTGAAACTGCTCGAGCAGATTGCGCGGCAGGAAGCTGAGCGTCGTGTACTTGGTTGTGCGTATCCTGCAACGGCGCTCGCAATGGTTGGTCGTTCGCGCGAAGGGGAAAGTGGTCGCGATGCGGAGCTTTGGACCCCGGCAGCGTCGGAGTAAAGCGGACGGGATGAAGTGAAATCAATGTGGGTTTCCGATCAATCGACGCTCGAACAGGAGCGAGCGAGGAAAACGACGTCTAGCATTGGTCGCAGTTACCTGTTATCGATGACTTTGCCGCTGGGGTGTGGATTGAGAGGCGTTTTGGGTGGGAACAAATGGTTCGGCACAATGGTCCTCAAGGGTGGCTCCTCAGGTACAGATCCAAAGTAGCGCGCCCACAGTCTCCTCCACCAGGGAGGCGCTGCGCTACGTCTTATTGTGTAAATTGACTCCGACCTACAACGAACAATGGCCGACGATGCAAGCGAGCGCCGAGGATACAGTTTGCCGGTTTCGCTTCCACGGCCCGCGTCTCTCGTCGTAAATTCCTCTCGACGCCCCAGCGCAACGGTTCTCCGTATGCGCAGGCTGCTCCTCGCCTCGTGGGAGAGGAGGATCGCATCGCGGCGCCGATTCTGAAATCACGCGGACCGACCTCCATCATATTCATCGAGCACGAGGCTCGGATCGGCGATCGGAGGCGCGCGAGACCAATTGGCTCGACCGCGATGCGACGCGCGCGGACGAGCGAGCGACGCGTCCGCGAGCGCGAGCCCGTACATACCTTGAGGCCTGCCTCGAGTGCCCGCGAAAGGACGGGGCTTTCGGCGGCTGGAGCCTCGGTGGCGGCGGCTCCTCCCGATGGCCGGGCGGCAGTATGAAGTCCGTCCTGGAGCCGACCCGACTGTGCTGGCCTTGCTGGACGGGCCGCTGCACCTCGACCACCTGGCCCCTGGCTGAAGGCGCGCTGGTGTCCGGGCTTCTTCAGCGCCGACGGCCTGCTGGCGCTCGGCCCGGCCGACGCGGACGCCAGCGACGGGCCCGCGCCCATCCAGTTGGAGTTGGCACCCGGCCGGCTGCAGTTCGCCCAGGCGCCGCCATGACTCGCCGAGCGCGCGTGGGTGCGGCACGTCGCCGCCAGTACCGATGAGATTGGCGTCTCCGCTAGGGCTCGTGATGTCACTGATTGCGCTGAAAGCGTGCGTGCGTGTGTATTTAAGATACCGTCTTCCATTCCTTTTTTACCTCCACCACGTCAGCGGTCTGTTGACATTTACTCAGCGCGCTGATTCGCGATTCTGTTTTTCCCTTTCGCATTATCGAATCGATGGGAGTGCCGTTCGTTGTGCTTTTTTCCCCACTGTTGAGGAAGGTCACGTTCTTTTCTTTTTCGTCCAAGCTTATAGATTTGCCGATGGACAGATAGGGAAAATAAAAAAATCTTCGGATTGATCGGCGATCCCCCTCGTCCCGCCCCGGACGCAGGCGCGCAGCACGCGAACTTGATTAGATGGGTCAGTCTCGATTGGTCGCCCTCCTCGAAAATAAAAGTAAACGTTGTTTTTTACGCGGCCTCGATGACGCCATTCGGCGGAAAAAAAGGAACATTGTCAGAAGCCAACGACACAATGGACGCGCGAAATCTCACGGTAGCGGACCTTGACGAATTTAACGCGAGAACTGTTGAGAAACCTACACCGACGTTGCTAACGCGTACTCGAAATCCCGCGCGGACTTCCAAACCGAGCGAAGGAAGAAAACAAATGCCGCGCTTTCGGCGTATGCGCGCATACCTTGGGCAGCGGACGCCAACGAATCCGCGGCTAGCGGTTGTGGCGTGATCGTCGCAGCCGGAAACAAATAGAGCGAGCCCTGCTGCTGCTGCTGCTGCTGCTGCTGCTGCTGCTGCTGCCTCTCTCTGCTGCTTTCGGCCTTCTCGCAGGCTGCTTCTTCTTCTGGCACGCCGCTCTCGGACATGCTTGCACATCTGAAAGCAACGTTTCTAATGGTTTTTTTTTTCTTTTTCTTTCTCGTGGCTGTTGCGCTTCTCGCGCGCTGCCCGGCTCTGTCTTGCGCGCGCGACACGTCGGCATGTGCATTACAGGGATGGAAATTGAGTGATTCTCCCCCCCTCCGACGGATTTATAAAGCGACTGAAGTGTAAGGCAAAGACGTCGTGGGGTGATTTTGGAAAAATTTGCAAACGTCGACGGCACTGCAGTCGCGAGAAGTTTCATTGTTTTGCGATCCACTGACCGTCCTCGCCGGCTGCAGTAATTTATTCGAATGTGTACTCGGCGCACGCGTGCCGGCGACAAGTCCAAGCGTCTCGCACGAGCCCCTTCAAATGGACAAATGTTCGAGACGAGGAAGTAAGCGTGAAAATGCGTTTTTACGAAGAACGGCACGAGATTGATTGGCGAACAATGTGTACGCCAGAGTTCTTTTTATTCCTCTTCAAAAATCATTCAGTTAATCGCTGATCAATTACGTAAAGCGAATTACGAACCGGTATCGTTAATAGGCAAATGAACAAGAGCTTCAACAACGAAGCATCTTCTTGCAGTGCTTTTGTTTTTTTTTTTTATTCGTTCGTCCATTTAGAATTTCAGTTGCGTAGATTCCCCACTCTTCCCATCTGAAAATCCCGTTAACGATTTAATCAAATAACGCGACTTTCTTGGCGGAACAAAAAAAGAACATAGCAGGCGACGGCGTTTTCTTGCGTGCATATTTCCAAGTTGTGCAGTGCTGCCGTAGAAGCGCTTGACAATGAACTTGAATGACACGAAACTCGCTCGCGCGAGAGATGCTATGTTGTTTTTTTTTTCTTGCATTGCACGCGCGTAAGTTTAACGAATCGATGCGGTGCTTTAATTATTAAAAGACGGCAGCTTGAACTTCTAGGCGCGACTTACACACACGAAAAATCAATTAACGTAGAGCTTTTTCGCAGTGTGCCATTGCATCGGCGGTAAAATTTTAGGTGTGAGCGACAACAATAGAAGAAAAGTTAACAAACTTATTCGATAGGTGACTTCATCTCCCAAATTTCATACGTATATATAGTTTGCATAATCAATTGAGCAATTCACTCTCTTAGGGAGCGACAATTAGACACGTAGTGTGTGATATATAGATTGTTGATTTTTTTCAGTTCAAGAGCAAAAATACCAATTAAAGTCTCTTATTTGTACAAGCCTTTTTGAAAAGTTGTCTCGATAATCAGAGCATGATTTCAAGAGCAACAGAGAACGAATCGATTTGAACGAGAAAGAAAGAGAGAGAGAGCGAGAGAGAGAGAGAGAGGGAAAATAGGTCGTGTGTTAAAATAAAAATGCATAATAATGTATTCGACAATCTCTCGCACGTTCGTATAATGAATATGTATCAATAAGTCGAGCTTATTAGCATTCGTCATAGAAAAATAATTGAGTTTTGTATGTCTATAAATAATCGCTAAAACGTTGAAACATATTTGTACTCGCGATATTCATTCTCTTGCGATAAGATAAATATTCATACACTCATTCACACTATGTACTTTTTTTGTTGTAATGTGTATAAACAAATTACTTACATTTTTCAAGCTGCCAAGAAATTTCACTTGTATTAGGCTTGAATTAACTGGCCCACGATTCGAAAATCCAGGTGGTGATGATCACAGTGTCATCACGATGTTTTTTTTGTTCGTTTTGTCTTGTATTCTCTCGTGTCACTGTAACTACCTCAGATTCATCATTTCTTGCATCTTGCAAAGAACACTCTTAAAAATTTCGCCAACAATGCGAAAACTTCTTTCTCTAGCGAGCAACGAGAAAGAAAAAAAGAAAAAAATAGAGGATATTCAAGTTTATGCACTTCGTCGAATCAGCAGATTATTCCGCGATTAACGCTGTTTTTCTTTCCCTCGTGAACACGTCAACAACGTATAATGAAAGAGAAGCTCTAACACGTTAGAGGTTAGAATAATCGAGCTCAACGTATATTATAAGCTCATGGATCGAATGGTAAGAGGGAGAGAGACAGCAAGATTAGAAAAAAAGAAATGCACTGCCACAAGCGCGACGAGAGATCGAGAATCAATTATAAACCAAGCTGAATCTCTCTATGATCTCGGGCAGCTGCCGTACGCTGCTGCTATGCGAATATGTCCCTTCTTATTGCTCGCGTGTCGCGAACTGACGTTAATCCAGGTCGAAACCCCCCAAAGAAGTCTCGCCGCCTTTTCCTATTGACTCTTCCCATGTCCAACGTCTTGCGATTGGCTGTACTCATCAAGCTGCGTCTAAAATTGTTTCGTCGTTTGAGCACTAACGATGATTTCAAATATCCCCGCGTGAACAACCAATCGCGGAGTACTACGTCATAGTAAGGCATGTTGGGTACGCGGTGTCGTTGTGGCGAGTAGCTTAAGGGCCGGCAAAGTGGCACATCGTCATTGGTTGCCTTTTTGCATTATTTTGCTTGCTTTAAATTTTGCCCTGGTGTTTTGACTTTTAATAGTATTTAATTGTTACTTATATCATTATTGAAGTTTTTACGAGGATCGCATTCGAATGGTCGTATACTTGTTGATATTTGAATGTTGAACTTTTTACTATTTTCTCACACAGTATATACAATAAAAGGCGAATTTAATCAAGAATAGTTTTAGATGTGTCGTTTTGTACATTTGAGAACTTTTATCTTATCCATTCGCCAACTTTGAATTAAGTTGGAGTAATCTTTAATATTCCTATATTGACATTTACGTGATACACGCGTCGTCTGCTGGATATATACGTGTCCAACGACTCTTTTCTAGAGACTTCTTTTATAGTATATAATAGAATTATGCAATTTATTTACGTAGATTTGTACACAGTTTTCTTCTTACTGCTCTGCACAACACCATTTGGTACTTCAAAAAAAAGTAGTGAAGAAATTAAAAATACAATACTTCCACCATGTGCATCCTGCAAAATAATGGTTGAAAGTTTTAAAAAGGTAAGTGAAATTCTTGATTTAACAAGATACTGAAATAAACAACACATTTATTATCAATTACTGATATTCTAGGGGATTGACAAGACAAGTCGTGGCAAGTTTGAAGGAGGTGATAGTGCGTGGGAAGAAGATAAGTTAGGATCATACAAAACTAGTGAAGTAAGACTTATTGAAATTCAAGAAAATTTGTGCAAAGATGTTGACCGCGGCCAGACCCAATGTCATTCTCTAGCTGAAGATATGGAAAGCTTCATTGAAGAATGGTGGTTTAAAAAACAGGACTCTGATCCAGATCTATACATATATCTATGTATAGAAAAATCTGAAAGGTGTTGTCCCAAAGATCATTTTGGGCCCAACTGTGACAAGTGCCCTGGTTATCCAAATAATGTCTGCAATAATAATGGCAGATGTAAAGGGGCAGGCACTAGAAAAGGAAGTGGTCAATGTACTTGCGACAAAGGTTATTCTGGAGAAGACTGTTTTGATTGTGCCACTGGATTTTATGAATCTTACAGAGACAATAAAAAGTTGCTATGCTCAGCCTGTCATCGAGCTTGTAAAGGAACTTGCTCAGGTGGAGGATCAAAAGATTGTAAAGAATGCAATTCTGGATGGAGGTTGATAGATGGCAAAGGTTGCTACGATATTGATGAATGTATTGAGAAAGAAGATCCTTGTTCACACAATCAATTTTGTGTCAATAGTGAAGGCAGTTTCTCTTGCATAGGTAAATTATAATAGATTTTAATATGAAATAGAAAGATAATTAATCATTTTATTTATGTTTTTCTTTTTAATTTGCTTTTATAGAATGCGATAAATCGTGTGATGGCTGTGATGGAGATGGACCTGATATGTGCATCAAATGTGCTAAAGAATACAGAAAGAAGGGCAACGTATGCATAGGTATGCATTTGTTGAAACCGCAGTTATTTAAATTTGTTTTGTAATTGTAAATACTGAAAATTACTTTTAGATCCTAATGCAAACCCAGGTGTCATAGGACGATCTGTACTGGAAAATTATCCACGGTATATTACATACGCAGGACTTGCCGTGGCTACGGGTATCATTTTTCAGCGTAACGTGTACGCAGCTAGTGTAATCGGCTTGTTCGTTGCTCTCTACATATCTGTTTCTGAATATTTGATAGCCACAAGTGACGTACAGAATGCAACGCCAAAACTTAAACTAGTAGAAAAATAAATAATTCTAGAATAATTTATAAATAAAGGGAAATGATAAAAATAATCGTGTGGAAATGATAAATGATGTATTGCTCCATTATACCTAGACAGTATTGTACGATTTGCTATATATTAATCAATAGCGTGATCTAAGTCATTATTGATATTAGAAATGAATGTTTTCTACCGTACTTTTTTATAAATAGCCGAGCTTCTCATGATTTGTAATATGAATTTCATGAAACTGCCAAGAATATTAACTTAATTTAAACATGACATTTTACTTTATATTAAATTATTACTGAATACAGAAACTAATTCACGTTAGTAATTCCAATACTTTTCATTTGAATCGGAATTGTGAAACGAATATGTACATGGTTCCACTTAAAACATAATAAAAAAACATACACATAATCTAGTGAAATTATGATTATTGTATTATAAAATGGTGTACAAATTTCAAAAATCGTTGGTCTTTGCAGGTGTATATTTTTATACAAACTTACAATGTCATCTCGCTTTAATACATATATTCCATTTTCTTATAAAAAATTTCATTCAAAAGCGGAGAAAACGCCTCCTACTAGCATTTTTAAATATGTAATAAAATACTTTTATAAGCTATAGGAAGTGCTTACACTTTTGGAGCTTGTAGCTATTGTTTCGTCGTTACCTTGATTTTGGATCGTGTAAAATAAAAATCGACAAAAGAAAAAATTCAATTATTTCATTCTAATTCATTGCAAAAAATCTCCTTAACCTTTGACTAACAGCTTCAAAAATACATAAAAAATTTTAACAACGAAATATATAATTTATGCATCGTTTCTCAAAAATATCTATTCAACTAATATTATGACTTGTAAAAAAATCGGTTAGCTTTCTTCAAAACATAGTGTACCTACATCAGACATCAGCTCATTCTGTAAATAACGAATTTATTCTCTTTTCGCTCCGTAAGAAAAAAATCTTTACCTTACGTAAGCCGTTAATATACGCAAAAAAATCAATTTTGTAATTAGCTTTTTGAACACAAAAATTTATCTGTACCTAACTGTATATATAAACACAATTTGAAAAAATAATCACAATCAAAAAGAATTCCCGTTCATAAGGCCGAATCACAAAACTTTTATCGTGTGAGTTTGTGCAATTGAAATTGCAAGCTATGGCAATATGAAACTTAGTCAATACTAAATTCCAATGATCACATAACGCTAATCAGTAAAAATAATTTTCCTGTCAGCATAGCTCCAATGTGAAGCATAAATAATAGTTATTTTTATTCCAATGTTTTATTTTTCTTTCTCGCATATATTACGGACACATTGATTACGATAATTATTACATGATCTATAGTCGTAAATGCACAAGTGTGTATACACACGCAATAAAATACACATCTTCAAATACGTGTATTATAAATCCTCAGAAATCTGATTACTCTTTCTGTCTATTTCAGTAAATATGCTTCTAATTCTAAAATCTGTAGGTACAATCCATGTTTTCTATTAAAAATTTGTTATTATAGGTATATGTTTTTATCTTCATTTATTGCACATGTGTTATAATTGCGATGTAACGCAAAAAGAAGCTAGGCCGCTTTTGAGCATTTTTTTTCATTTTCCTCACTTAAAATATAAGTCTCACTCTTAATGTTTAATAAATCAACATTAAAATTGCCTCTTATGCGAATATTCCTACTTAAACAAAAGACGCCTATACATTACGAATTAATGTAAAAGACTAAACAAGCTAAATCATATTTAGACTATGTTTTTTCCGAAAAAAGTTGATTATTTTCAGTTTATGTTACGATTGTTCGATAATATGCCATTTTCATAACGCCTTCTACAAATAAACCCTCATTATTTGTCGGTACTGAGAAAATCATATACATATTACACAAAAAGCTTATGTAAGTTATCGTTATCTATAAAGGAGGTGCATTATTCAAAGTTGTACTTTCAATAATTCGACAACACACACACGCGCATATCCACGCATCGTGGGAAATTTTCTTAAGCGATCTCCTCGAGAAATTCCTCACGACTCATCGAGCGAACTCGAGTATATAATAATCCAAATTGACAGCGACATCAATTAAAAAAGCCAACAAAAAATAAAGAAAAAGAAGAGAAATACCAGCCACACCAGTTACTCGCAGAGCATTTCTTGCGTCGATTTCTAGTCGTCTCTATCGCTATATAGGCATTGAAGGTCAATGAAAGTATATAAGTTGCGCGAGCGTGCCCGCATACTTTCGCGTTCTTTCATCTCGTTTTATCCACAAAGGAAACCAAAAAAGTAAAACTCGTCGTCGTTGCGATTATTGACTGATAGTGTCGTTGCTATTACTGTTACTATTCTGCTCGTTGTTGGTATTATTGCTGTCGCGATTTGGTACATAATCTGTTGCCATTAAACAGGCAAATACCGTCATGACCATCTTATGTTTAACTTCGGTAATGTCCTCAGGCAACGCGTACACGCGAGCACCGCATTTCCTCGCCAAGGATAGCGCGTACTTTGCATTCTCAAGATTGTCCTAAAAAAACAAAGAGAATAAAGGTTGGTTTTTCTTCTTATACAAATACATAAGAATCGAATCTCGAATTCAACTCATTATACAAATGAATCATCCGGACGACAATGAGGGATAAGTCATCGCTTTTTTACTCATTGTTAATTTTTTCGGTAATTTACATCAAATAAAAAGAGTCATTCATTTGCGATCTTTCAAATTACTATTCGATAATTTTATCCAACTTTTATTGAAATATTGATTTAATGGAGATTTTCATTAAATGAATACGTTTGAAATATTTCAATTTATTTTCTATTTTGATTCGACAAATGGACTGTTTTTCCCGACCTATAAAACACTTGAAAACACTTTAAAATTCCTTTGAATAAAAAAAGTAATAAAAAGGTACATTTTTTAAGAAACCAAGGTTGTGATTCATCATTGACAAACAATTATGTTTTCAACAACAACAAATATCATCACTAACTTTAACGTGCAAACACAATACAACAAAAACTAAGAAAATATAAAAAGAAGTACAAACTTGGTCATTGCCTCCCTCCTTCACCAAATCATAGTTAACCGAGCCAGGCTTGATTGAATCAATAAGATCAAGCACGACCTTGCCGTCAGCAATTGCATAATCTTGGAAGCTCTTAATGGACGAAGTCTTGTTGGCAGCCTTGAGCTTGGAATTGACCCACTGAACAATCTCCTTCTCGACGATCGCGGTGCCTGGCCTTCCTGTCAGCCCACTCAATATACTCAGCGTGTACGACCTCATCAGCTGCCAAATCAGCGCCAAAGTTAACGTCACCGTGCCGTCGTTGATGTCTTGGCCAGCGATCCCAACGAGCGAAAAATTCATCTGTCTACCAAGCTCCACCACGTAATTACAATTCTCCAACTTTTCCATGAACTTACGCAGCTTGGAGAATTTTTTATGCACTTTGTTCCAATTGACAGTGCCCGGCTTAATGATATCGTACAGTTGGAAGAAGATAAGGCCATCAGCGAGATCGGAGTACAGCCAGTTGACGTAAGGCGAGACACCCATCGAATTCATCCAATTACGATAAGTTTTCTCCTCGCGACTTTCTTCGATCGTCTCTAGGCCCTCGATACTGTCGTCCTCGAGTTTATCGAGGCCAGGATACTTATTAAACATATTTGCCACAAAAGCCAAGTTCAATTTGTGTATTCCGTTGACAACATCGCTGGATGTAACGAAACTCCTGCACTCGATTTTGGCAGCCTGCTGCAACATTATCTCGGCTCTTGTCACATGATTCGGTTCCATCAGCGCTTCCAAAGTAACTCCAGCTTCTTTCGGGGCAATCTGGTGGACGAGATGCGAATAGATTTCTGAATCGGTGATGTCAGAGTAGAAGTTGTTGCATCTCCTTCCGATGCCAGCGTTCTCCAGATGATGATTCACCCATCTCAACAGGATTTCCTCGGGAGACAACCTCAACAAATCTTCGATTCTCTCGCCATCCTGAAGTAACCTTGCCAATCCAGGACAATTTTCCAGAGTGATTTGGTTGAACAGGCCGATGCGAATGATCTGCCAGAGTAGGCCGAGTACCAAGTGCGGCGATCCTTTGCTCAAGTCGTGTGCGTCGATGTTGATGATATTGCAACCGATCGACTGGGCGGACGCCAGTGCCAACGTCAGGTTCTCATGCGTGCGGTAGAGGGTCAAATTTTTTTTGTTGATGGTACGCTCGTCGATCGTATCCGGGCACGAGTGATTGATTATTTTACTGTAAGGAACAAGCCACGACGTTAGATTTATACTCGTATTCTGTCGTCGGTTATTCAACTACGTAGGAAAAAATGCTTTTTAATTTATTAATTGATAAACACGCGTGAGCGCGAAACGATATAATTCCGAGTATGAAAATCAATTTTAAACAGCGGGAAGGAAGGTATTCCTGTATAAAGATTAGCTTGTAGTACTCGCAAACAATGTTCTTTTGCAGATAAGAGTTTACGAGTATTGACTCATCGCACCACGATATATTATAGCGAGCGTGCATAAGCGATATATAACAAATTCTGCGCTGATTATTTCGCAGAAAATACTCGAGTATCATTTATTTTGCAAAGAATAGAGTTGGCCAGACTAAAATAATGTCGTAAAGTTTATTGCGAGCTCGAACGTATGAGAATTGCACTTTGGAAAGAAAGGACGAGGAGCGACTCACCATAGCAGAATGCCATCCTTGACCTTATCGTACAACTGTTTCCCTTCAGCGTCGATGGGCAACAGGTGCTTCAAATCCTTATCGTGCGCCAAATTGGTGTTGATCCAATCGCTGAAGGCCAGCTGCTCTTCCAGCCTGACGGAGTGCGTGGTGCCCTCGCTGGAAGCCGCCGAAATGCCGCCCAACTTTTCCAAGTTGTCCTTCTTCGAGACGGCCTGCTTGAAACTGGAGCTCGGGTCGTTGGCGCGCAATTCCTGGCAGAGCTTCTCGAATTCGTCGAAGCTGAGCCTCCCGCGGTCCTGAGGGCGACGCTTGTCGTCGTATTCCTCGATCATACGACGTACCTTGTAGCCTGGCATCTTGAAGCCACACTGGTCCAAGGCGTTACGCAGCTCCGCCAGGTCGATAAAGCCATCGCCATTCTCGTCGATCTGCGCAAGCGATTGCGAGGAATGAGTCACGCGAAGCTCGGCATGATTTATGGAAAATCCGATTGTTCGACCTGATTCGAGCGGTTATTAGCAAAACGACCGAGATAAAAGGAGGTGGCGAATAGTGTTTCCTCGAAGGCGCAGCGCGTACATCGAAACGTCCTCGACGTTAAAGCAACGGCCACTGCAATTCCAAGCTCCCAAAGGGATCGCACACAAACCTCTTGTTTTTCTATTACGCGACCATCCCAAACATTTTGGTTTGTCTATTCTTATAAGCACAAGCTTCTCTCTCTCTCTCTCCAACTGCTTGCACGACGAACGTACACGCGCAGTCGTCGTACGATCATTTCTGAAGCACTCCATTGATAGCTTGCTACAGTTGAGCAGAACTGATTCAGCCGTATCACCGTTCGGTTCTTGAATTTCCCGAGCTGTTCCATTACATATTGATCGCGCGAGCCGTTCGCTCCGAAATATGCGCGTAACGGCACCTCCGTTACAACAAACCACTCTCTCTCCCTCTCTCTCTCTCTCTGCGAGAGAAAAAGTGAATCATGCAGCATAGTACGTATCGAACAGGATACACGCGGAGTGTACTACGTGCGTATCCGCAAAACGCACATTAAACTCTCTTACGCACACACGCATTGACTCACGCGTCGCGGTTTGCGTATTGACTCATTCATCGCGTACAACGTAATAGTAACACGTGAATATTCCAAATGCCAGCCACGTCCTATCCTCGTGCCGCATAAATAACAACTTGATTTTCTTTTGTAGCTTAACGCTGCTTTTCTTTTTCCTTCGGAGCCGCGACAATCCACGCCAATGCGAGCTTCTTTTTGCGTTATCGGTGTGATTTATAAGTGAAAAAAGCCCAGCCAAGGAGCTACGAGATGCGAAATAAATACTCCGTCATTGAAATCTCGATAACGCACTTGTCATCATAGTCATCATCATTGGGAAAAAAGGGGGTCTGTCTATCTGTCTATCTATCTATCTATCTATCTATCTACCTATCTCTCTCGCGCACAGCAGGAGAGCAGCACGAGTGGAGGTCCCTGCCCGCGGTGTATATAGTTGGCGTCAAATGAGGACGTCCATTGCGCACAAAAGCAGGCACAAGGCTCCCGCCGATGTGACGTTTCAGTAAAATGCCCGCGGCGAGAGAACATTCTCATCGGTCGTATGCGCCGCCGCGAGTTTTATTGTTAAAAATCATTGGCTACACGACGACGCTCGTATGACTCACGAGCAACTCCTCGCGTCTCGCGCGCGTTATAGATACACTCGCGTGGGCGTGTGTGTGCGTGTGTGCACGCTAGTCGAACTTCGTTTTCTTATCCTGTTTTCACGCGAATCCTTTTGTCGCGCGACGACTTGACTTTTTCACAGTACTTACGGCTTGGAAACGTTCGAGGAGTTCCTGCCGATCGTCGATCGCTGTGGCCATGTTGACTACGAGATACACAGTCAAGCTGTTCTGTGCCTGCCTGCTCCGCTCCGCCTGCGCCTTACGTCCTTTCGTCGATAACTCCCCGACCGAACTGACGCTCCACCGCTCCACTGGCACTTCGCGCTGCTACTTGCGCACTCACACATTCAACGGCGTATATGTACCGTTGTACGTGTGCGGTATGTGTACACATACACATTGACGAATATGACGACGTGCTGTTATCGAGCGATAACATGGACTGCATTTTATAGACAGATAGATAATGACATTCTCTATGTATTATTCATCAGTAAAAGAGAGGAAATTCAACAATTTTGTATTATCATTTTATCTATCGAGATTCATTTTTGAGATAACGTTCGAAATTGAATTGTTGAAAGATAAAAAAAAATTAAATAGCGCGCCGCAAGTTACGTATAATTTTAGTTTCACAATTTTCATTGCATTATTTGGTATTAGAAATAAAAACTGTTGTTCACAATGTCTTTCATGATTTTGGTGACGACATTAAAACCAGCTAACGTGTGGATCTTTTGAATCTTTGTTCAATTCGATTCGAGGTTCAACCAATAAATTGTTAAAGTGACGGTTTATAGATAACTGAAACTTTTTAAATTTATTTTAGGATGGAGATGTTAACACTCATACTGGCTCTATTATCTCCGCAGTGAACGAAATATTAAATAAAAATTATGTAAGTATTGAAATCGCGCGACCACGTATATAAAAGAATTTCTACCAAATATAGATGAGCAGAAACTTCACATTTACTAAAAAAATACATGTTCCGCTCCTTCGAAATTTAAGGCGATAATTTAATCTTCATATCTTAACTATGATTCTCGAGTTGCGATATAGTCGTTGAGTTGCCAGAAGTAGTAGTGTAATCGTCATACATCATGTTTACATGTCTTATTTTATATTTAACCAGTGCCAGTCATTGTTACACTTGTAAAGACGCCCGTTGATATTCATTAAACGAAATGCAAATACAAAAGCGGCCGCTAGTTTGGGTCTAAGCAATCGTCGTTCCACTTACTACCGCTTATTGCTCTGTATTACACAATTAAACTGTAGCCAATTACAAATTGACGATGCTTCGAGCGACATGACGTTGCAAAGGCAATCGATCGAATTAATGAAAAATAAAACCCACGTGTCAACGATATTTCTAATCAGGCTCAATTACTATTAGGTGAGCTGCAGAGGCAAAGCATGAAAATGGAGTGCCCTTGAAAATTCAATATTCGCATCTTCCTTTGATTTTATTATGCATATAAATTGAAAAAAATGTCTTCCATTATCGTTAATACAAGAAATTAAATAAGCGCTCTGGGCCGTGCTGCCGGCGTTAAAGTGCGCTCGTTTATTTCCACTTCGCGCCACGAGAGATCGCGAGTGTGCGCGTGCGTGGCGCGAGCGCTGCTGATCGGGTTGATAAGGCAGTTATCCTCTACAATAAAGCAACGCCAACGGCGCATCGGCAAAACATTTCCATAATTAATTATACGAACAAATGCTCGGCGTCCGTGATCGCGACTCGCTCGTTTAAGAGCTCATTTCAAGTCGGTTTGTATTATTTTCCAACTCGGCCGGGCCTTTATCTCGCGATTATATCCAGCGACGAAATCGCGCGACACGAATCTCGTTAAAATTATAATGACTCGGGCAACTGCAACAAAACTACGGAAGATCGTGGTTTTCGATTTACACGACTTATCGCGGCATTGCCCGGCAGAGCACAGACTAATCTTTCCGTTGGAAACGCTTGCAAGCACGCTAAAAGACGAGGAAACTCTATGAGCACAGGTATGAAGACATTCGTTTGCAGTCTGGATGAACGTCGCTGCTCCACGTTAGCAGTCCTCGGCGATGATCCATCGCATCTTGTTGGATACTTTGGCGATGCAACAGTTCTCAAAGCTTTCGAATTGCAGTAAATATTTTGTTGCGCGCAGTTAATCGTCATCTATTGTCGACAGTGACCCATTGCTTACATTCAATGGTCTTTATGTCGAATGCGATTGAAGCAAATCTAATATTCAACATCGCAATACCATTGAATGCCGACCAATCGAAATCGAGCACTAAAGTGATAACGCTTCTTGTGGTTTTGGACATAATACAATCGTTGATGAATCATTTATTGATACTATTTGGCATCTAGCCTTTCCGCGTAATCTTAGTGTTGCCCTTATTAGATGCTCTTATAATCTCTGGTCGTAACATTTTGCATTATTTATTGACTGTTATAAGTACACCATTTTTTTGTTCGCATTTACTCAAAGGAAAATCTTGATCAATCTCATCGTCAATCTCTATTTCGCTATTAATAAACTCTGATTCATGATATTCAGACGACTATATATATATCATTATCACACGTTTCATCAATGTCCAGATGGAAATCGGTGGCATTTTTTGCGCTAAACAATATTAGAGTTCTCGATTGAACGGCGTCAGCCAAGGGCTTGATAAAATCTGATTCGCACAAGCCAATATATTTGCAGAAAACTTTTTAAAAGTCCGTGCAAGCTCTTCCAACTTATACGTCGTGTATGAATTATGCAATAGCCATAAATAGCATTTTGCAATTCCAACAAAATAAAAATTGAGACTTCGCTTAAACAAGTACACACCGTTATATAACAAGCTTACTAGGCCAAATTATAATAATGTAAACAAAGGTTCTTGTGTGGATAATGTTTTTGTCAAAACTGATTTTGCTGTTAACACAATCAAAGTAATTACAGTTTTTACTGATCCACTGTAATTATTGCTTTAAAAATCAATAGAATATTATTTGAAACGAAATGAATGACTTTTTATCAAATGTAAATCTGGTCTTTATTCGCAGCAACGTTTCGGTCATTTTAGAAGAAAATCTCCGATCCTTTTCAGGCTCAAAGGAGATGATTATGCTGTAGATGTTTAAACGCGAATATGAAGAATCTGAAGAAGATCGGGGATTTTCTCCCAAAACAACCGAAACTTTGCTAGAGATAAAGACTAGATTTACATTTGATGGAAAGTCATTCAATTTGTTCCAAATAATATTATAATTATCCATCATAACAAGTAATTATTAGTTATAAAGTCAGTAGAATACAATTGAACTATGTTATAAATGTCAAACGTTTTGCTTTTTATAAATTGAAAAAACTATGCTGAAAATACTGATTGGAACGTTATTGCAACTGTGAAAGACCCAGAATCAGCTTGCAATCTATATTAATCAGTACTATAAAAATTCTATTGAACTAGCATTCGACTTTATTAGTCGGGATTGAAAAAAGAAAAACCAAGATTGATCACTAAAGATATCATGAATTCATGTAAAACCAAACAATTGTTATATAAAACTTACATGAATGTCACGATAGAACCAAAATGACTTGAACATCCTTATAAATAATAAGCCTTTGACTAGGCTCTTACATTATAAATATCTTGGTGTAGTGATAAATTCACGTCTGTAATGGCAGCATCGTGTTAATTGTGTTTCTAAAAAGACCAAATATTCAGTTTTCGTAATGTTTGAATTGTGAAATTCATTGGATAAAACGACTTTAAAAACAATCTACAGTGCTTATATTTAATAGCATTGCTACACATAGAATAATTAGCTGGGGCGGAGTTTATAGTAATGCTTTATGCAGTACTAAGATACACAATAAGTTGGCTAAACTTATACTAAAAAATAACAATGTTCCGCTACCATTCTCAATTAGAGAAACTTTTCCAATATAGGAACTATCAAAGATAATTATATACTTGTACGTATCTTGGAATGTGCAAGATCAGAAAGTATTATCCGAAATAAAATCCTCCTCCGGAAGTTAATAAGTCTTCATGGTCGTCATTTTGTCGATCTTAAGATCTTCAAGAAATTTGATAGTAATATGTAAAGTCATTAAACAAACTAGCAATGTAAACTAAAATTAAAAAATGTATTAAGCTCAACTCCAATCTACTGAAGGATTTGAACATCATAAAGAAGTTTAATTTTACAAAAATATAAACACGCAAAAATTTATATTCATCAACTAGTTTTTAGTTAATAAGATATATGTTGCTTTTTAATTTTTTTTATGTACATGTCATCTCACGTCTGGGTAACAAGTTTACCTTGCCTTATTTTTTGTAATACCTTCCGACAATAAACTACTAAACTACTGTCACGCTTGATTCGAATAATGATTTTTAAGGAATCCAATAATATATATGGCAAATCACTGTACGATGTTTATTAAAAGGAATGATAATTGAATAATTTATTAAACAAAAAAATGTCCGAATCGGAAGAAGCCATGGATGTTTATATTATTGAAATGCATCGCTTACAACATATTTTAATATACTTTTTGTTTATTTGCTTATTGCAACAGAAAAAAATTCTGAAAATTAATTTGAGTGGTTTTTAATCAATAAGTAATTACCCAATTATTCGATCTTAATGGCTCTTAATGATCTCATTTGACGATGGAATCTAAACAGTGAAGAATGTTAAATCTACATGTTTATGTTATTTAAATAAATACTACTGCGGATTGGCTGTTAATAAACTCTCGTCTTTAATCGATATCGTTCCCCAAACACTTTTACACTTGGTAATAATTCAATAGCCAAAGTGAATTAGGCAAAGTCTACATTGCGATTATAATAGTCAAAGACAAGAATAGGAGGCTATGTACGAATTTGAACTTTTGAATGGGGCTTTCAATTGTTGGCCAAATTAATTAACATTAACACATGTGGCATTTCAAAACAGAGCTTACGTGTAACAAATATTGATTTGGGTAGAATTGAAAAGTATAAATTATTTAAAACATTAAATTATAATAAGAAATCATTTAAAAATCTTAATCATAGTCACGGGTATAATTATTTTGCAGTCGTTTCTTGCCGTAATCGTGTGAGTTAGGCCGAAACATTTGTACACATTTATTTTACATTGCGTTGACACTCCTTTCAACATTTTTTGCTCATGATGAACGCTAATATTTTGTTTTCGTCGTAAAGTCGTAAACATGAACATCAATGACAGCTCAAAATCATTATTGACTTTTTGATTTTTTATGAGAAAATCACTGGATAGAACGCTTCAAAATTGACAAGTTGTAATACAGATAATATATTTTATTAATATTTATTTAAAAGATGACTACTATTGTTTCAGTGAAAATTGCATTTATTTATTTACTGTCTATATTTGTAATTATCGCAACGTATCAAAAACTTTCAGGTTTTATTATTAATTTTTGTCAGCAAAAAGCATTTTTATACCTATAAATTTCAGATGTATTTTAGATTATAAATATGGATTTTTTTTCGATTATGTGGCTTTTTATTCAGATTACAGAAGTTACTTGAGAAATTTAAATGAGTGTGTTTTAGAAAATAAAAAGTAAACTTTTTTTGACAGGTAATATTTATTATTACAATTTCTCTCTTTTAATCACAAAATTTTTATGATAAAGTAATAATCTGACCGTAGATCTATACAACTATGCATACAGTATAATTATAATAATATTAATATTAATAATAATAATAATAATAATAATAATAATAATAATATAATAATAATAATATCTATCGTCTTTACTTTTTTATATTTATATAAATTTCATATGCATATATATAACATATAGTATATACTATATATATGCATAATGGGTGTGCAATACCTTGTTACTTTTTTTTGTTTCTGTATGTCAAATAAGCCGGAGCTTTAAGTCGCTTTGTAAAAGTCATTGTGTATGTAGGTACCCAGACTTGGTCGCATACGTACGTACATATATAATTTAATTGCGAGTGTACACGTAAATATTCCACTGTTTGTATGCGCGGCTACAATCAGTGCCCAGCCTTGTCTCCGCCATTTACCTTGAAGCATGATTTTTATTTTATTTTCTTAATTTAATTACTGTTCGTCTGCTTTGTTTGCCGGATCAATGATGAAATTTGATACTTTTGATTCATAACAATTTTTTTTATTAATAACAAAATTAACGAAATGCATGTAATTTATTTATTAGGGCTAATATACGCTGTCCACAATTCCATAACTACACATTGTTTTTTAAAGAAAATACAGATGCTTTTAGTTTTAAATTTAAGAAAGTTGATAAATGATTAAGATATTACACCTTCCAAAAGGACATTGAAGTTTAACGGATAAGAAGTATCAAAGTCATCACTAAAATGGGACGTTTTTTTTAATAGATGAGACTTGTTGCATCTTAAAAGAGTAAAAAAATTTACAGATTTAACCTTTTTTTATTTTTATCTGCTATGGTAATATATACAAAAATCTTGCGAGTAAATGAAGTTTGTAAATGATCTAATTATGCTTTAATGTCATTTTAAATTTAATGATCATTCAAACAAAAAAAAATGATGAATGATGAATTTTGATTATGTTCACATAAATAAAATTGAGACATTATAAGCAATAAAAGCTTTTAAACGCACTTTTTTATCACCTCAAACATTTTACAGACCTACATAATTTTAAAATTTGACAAAATAAATTACGTTTCGTGGGATCGTATAATTTTTCAATTTTTTCACTACCTTTGCCTTTATTATTATTTTTTTAGAAAAATATTTATATGAATCACATGTTGTAGTGCAATTTGACACGTATAATAAATTACATTTTCAAAGATTTTGAAATTAATAAGTACAAATCTGTGTATCGGGAAGTTGCTGAAAATGTAATTTACAATACGTTTTGATTGAATGATCTTGAAATGATCTTTTTCCAAACATGATCAACTAAGTAACTTTTATCATTAAATGGGTAATATTTCATAATCATACAGTACTCGAAACGTTATACAGCAGAATAGCAAAGTTTGCTAAATTTTTTTGTCATGACTTACAAAGCTCGCTCATAAAGTATCAACGTCGCTTTTTTGTTTATTAATTTTTGTAGCTTAAAAACACTTTAGTCCTTATCGAAACTCGTGTAGATCAATCCTTAACTTCGAAACTCGACATACTGCTTTACAGATGGATGAATCCGAATAATTACAAGTGTGTGAAGGTATTAATAAATCTACACTATGTTTCAATTACATCGATAATGCAACTATTGAATAGATATCCGACGAAGATATCCTCAAATTTCTGCCTGGTAGACGATTGTTTTGTATTTTTTTTTGTGAATAATGTTGACGGGATGAGGCGTAGTCCATTAATAGATAGTAATGAACCTGACTGTCTCGTGCACATCCTCTTGCAATTTATCTTCGTCTTCGGTAAGCTCAGCGAACGACGATTGCAGCGAGTGCTGGTCCTGAGGACTCTGAGAAAGGGTAAACATGTGCATCCAACACTTACTTTACAAATTCTCCGTTCTAAATAAAAATTTATATCGAATATGTACATCTATGTGCAAAAATTTTATTCCAATCCCATAAACTGTATTCCGCATTTCTATCCAACTTGGAGAACAGCTTTCAGCTGCATCGATCATCTCTTTCTTTCTTTCTCGCTCTCTCGCAAATTCTGGACTTCGGAACAAAAATTTCGGATTTTTCTCTCGTTCAACTTCAGACTCTCCATTCTCTCTTTATGGGATTAGAATGTTGGAAAGCCATTCCTTGCAGAACAAAATCATAAACATCCAATCCAAAATAATAAAAAAACAGCCAGCATCGCCGCTTCAACTCGTTTTCTTTTTTTTTGTCCCGGTAAATTCAACAACATAAAAAATGCGGTTGAGCATCTAGATTTTGTCACTTATCGTTTCGTACCGGTGGATCCACTTCACAACTGCTACAGATGTAATCGTCTTCTTCGGTAAGTTCAGTGCGGTCTAAGCCGACACAATGCATGTGGAACCATCCATTACAGCCACCGTCACACTGTACCCAGTCAACTTCACGACCTGCAAAGCAAAAAATAATTATATCCTAAAATCAAATCTAATCAATTACAGATTGAAAATATTTTACCATTAGGCCTTAAGCACTTTGTAGCTGCACAATCTTCTTCTTCGTCGGATGTATCTTGTTTGGTTTTCTTTCTATTCGCGGTTCTTCTCTTGGGCAAACCTTCGCTGTCCTTACGGTTCACCTAAATCACAAAATCAATGCATCTCAAACACGATTGCCAAAAATGTTTATACGCGTCATAAAGGACAAATGGAAGAATTGTAATTCCTAATAAGTTCATTAAATGCCAAACATACCTTTCGCGGTCCTCGTTTCACCGTTGTAGGTGCTCCAGTTCCAGCCAACTTGGCATCCTTGTTCAAGCTCTTGCGTTTAACGACGGTTTTATCTTCTATCCTCTGCCGGCCAAACTTTTTAGCAATGTCAACCTCATCAGATTTCCGTTTACGGCCTCTCGGTATGGGTGTCTTCTTGACCTCTTTGTTGTCAGAAACAGGCGTAGCTTGATCGAGCGGGGCATACTTGCGTATGCTCTTGGAGGACGTTAACGTTTGACTGAGGATCCGCCAAATGTGTTCGGTCTCGTCGAGGGCTACCTCGAGGAGATCACCTTCCATCATTAGCTCTTCCAAACGGGTTGACGCCTGGGCCGAGAGGGTCACTACTTTCTCTTTGTCATCTGTGGTTGCTGATTTTGAAGGGAATTTTGAAGCTGAATTATAAAGTATGTGTTATGAAGTATCAAAGTTAATGATACTTTCACGTAATTTATTAGTTAAAGACAACATACCGGTTGAATAAGCATGTTCGTTGCTGTTGAACGTACTACTACTGGGTTCGGACTCATCAATTGTTAAAACATCATCATCACTGTCGATAAGATCATCATCGTCATCGTCTTCATCTATTCTACCTTCATCTTCTTCATCCTACAAGAAAACAAATTCAATAAGTATTTTTTTGAATCAGAAGTATATATTTATGGTTCTTAGATGAAAGAACTTACGGGAACGCTTATAACACTATCATCAGAATGTATGCCACTCATCGAAGCAATGTCTTTAACTTTGTGATGAAGTTCTGGATTATTGGCAGCTTTCTTTAACTCAGTGCTAATAATTTTTTCAGTTTTTTCTCTGGCAGCTGCCTCGTTCAACTTCTGCGATAAACTACTTAATTTTGCTAATACAGAAGACACTTCTTCGGCAGATAGAGCTTGTCTTGCTCGATCCTGAAATAGAAAGAATATGTTACATTGGTTCGAAATCGTATTATAAATGAATAAAAATAATCGGAATTTTCTATTTACCTGCCAGTTCATTGCACGTTCAGTAAGACATTGAAGAGCTTCACCTTCTGGTAAACGAATAGGAATTTTCTGAAGACTTACTAACAGTGACAGAATAGTTTCCAAGCGAGGTCTACGTGAACGTAAACAGCAAGGACACAAAAACTTTGTCACCCGTGAGTTCTGTTGTTTTCCTTTGTAGGGTGTTCTTGGTACCGGGACACAATTCGCTAAAAATAATACCCTATATGTTAAAATCAGAAGTAAACATCAATATTTTAGAAAACTAAAACTCACTGTGGAACCAATCTTTGCAAAGCTCGCAACGTAACATCTGTCCAAATTTCGCTCGGCGGCAAACGCAAAACCTTGAGTCATCAGTTTGCATCTTATTGATATTTCTTTCTCTCAGATTCTTCATAGCCTCCATCTCTCGTTTTTCTGCTAACTTAAAAGCAGCCACAACTGTTGCTGAGTCGTTTGAGTCATCTAATTTGGTATCGCAAACGTATACTGCTCCAATGGCTTCTTCGCCTTTGCTATTTTTACGATTTTTCATCGCATGCAATCCGACTCCAATCCTGGGTGAAAGTGCTTCCATTAATGTGTAATGAGAGTTCTTTCTCAGGAATGTTTTAGCTGTTCTATCTTTCCATATTTTTGCTTGTGCTAGAGTAGATTCTAAGGTGGGTAAGGCAGGTAAATGAAGTGGAATCGTTCTACCTTTGCGCACAAGCTCATCTAAAGTGTCATAATACGGGAAATTTTCTCTGGCTTGAATTTCTTCGACAGTTTTTATCCAGTTCTTAGCCTTATTCAATATGTCCTTGAGATTAATTAGCCCTGGTAAGTATGCATCAATTTTTTCAGCTTCCATAATATGTTCTTCCACTGATGTGATCGTCTGTCTATTTTTAGAAGCTTGAGAATACAGTTTTGCTTTATCTTCCCAATCATCGATACTGATCATCAAACTTTGTAGTTGAGCTAATGCATTTTCAACGCTTGAATGTGGAGGAATATTCATTCCTTCTTCAATTAATCTACCTAAATCTTGGCGTGTAACAGATTTTGGCTCTTCTTGAATGGATTTTATTTCTTCTAACCATTGCAATTGTTGCAATTTCTGTGAATAGAAATTCAATTAACATGTATTAATACTAGTGAAACATTCTCTTATAATACTATTTGTTATGAAATAATCCATACCTGTTTTAATTTGGCTAGTTGTGGCAGTTCTATGCAAATTGAATCACCATATTCTATACATTTTTCAAGTTTCTCCATATCGCAGTCATTTTCTTGAGTTTCTAATTCATCTGCATCTTTTTGAAATTGCAATACTTGATCTAATATATACTTAACACCATCTGCTTCCTTCAGTTCACAACAAAGCGTTGTGATTTCTTGATAGAATAATGTTAGTTCTTCGACTGTCAATTTGAATTTAGCATCAACTGACTGCCTGGTTCTAAAATAAAAAGAAATTAGAAAATAAGTGTATGTTCCAACATAGGTTTACAAGACTGCAAATAGCTAAATATTGAAAATAATAAATAATATTACCTTGTTCGTTGTTTGTTGTTCAACAACTGCCTGGCAACACTAGCACACTTTTCAGCATCTTGGACAGCAGTGGTCAAGGCAGTGAGCAATTCACTTTCAGGAAACTTCTTAGTTTCTGCTTCATCCAATAATTCCTTCAACTCATTGAGCTCTATCTTTTCACCCTTGGGATCCATGGCTTCTTTAACCTTACTGGCCCAGGAGTCAAATGACTCTGCCTTCAATTTGAGCTTCTGCAGCATGATTGGAAGTTCGTCTAGTGTATATCTATATCGCAAAGTGTGTTTTTCAGGAGGACATTGACAGAGATCGGTAATATGCCTTAAGCACACCAACTGTGATTTTGAGCATGAGCAGGTGACCGCACTTAAAAAGCATGTGGTCTTACATGCTTCACATTGTCTCTCGTCGTCAGGCAATAATTCAAAAGCCTCTCTCTCTGCTTCTGTAACACCCTGTTTGAACATACAAGATTTTTTTACATTAATATGTGCTCATTCACTGCTTACATTTATAACCTCACTTTCCGCGACTCCGATACGACTCCTAACATATCAGATCAGATGAAAAAGAAAATGAAAGCAAGCGTACACACGAAAATACTGAAAATATCGCGACCAAATTGCAATGAAAATTGAGAAAGTTTGTCGTCTTCAAAATAAATAGTACAACCTTCGCGGCAGCGATAAGTCGTAGTCACGTCAATGCGATTCCATGAAATCATGTACAGCCCAATTTAATCAATGCCTTATCACCAGCATATTAACAATATTAATGCAATCACATCCTACCTAGCACACACATATGAACCGCGAAAGTAAAAATATATGAATGAGCTTCTTATTAATTAAGATAACATCACGGAGAGATTGAGAAAACGAAATTCAATACGAAACGAGCGGGTGTAGACGAGAAGCAGCTGGCCGGTTCTAGCAAATAGCACAAAACGCGTCTCTATCGTGTATTATATGACAAACATAACCTCTATACTCACGCGAAAAACCGAGTGAGTTACATAATCTTCGCGGTGGATAAAATACAAAGTGAAACAACACTCAAAACTTCTACGGGCTGCAATGTCGCTTACGAAGGTTAAGATCGTCGCCGCGGATTGAATGAGAGAAAAAATATGTTCAAGAGACCAGCTCCGATATGTATATATGCTCTATCGGTCTGGCGACACGGACATCCACATATGAAAATGTCTGTTGGCCGCGAAGCACACACACTCGCACTTACGCGGCAACTACTTCGGACGGCGGAAAAAACAAAGAAGAGCCACGGCAACCAAGGCGCGGAAAAAAAAATCCGACTGTTGTATGCGCTCACTGTTCGCTCTCTCGCTCGGTTATGAGCGCGAGGTGCGGGGGATCGCGCGCCAACCTGGAGAACGCGGGATAATTTTCAAGAAATGCACGCCCACAACGCCTGCGCCCCACACACGTGGCTATACTGCGTATGTGTGTGTGGCCGACCGTGTACGTATATGCGTGTGTATGTGCGTCGGACGAGTGCGAGAGAGAGAGAAAGAGAAAAAGAGTCAAAAGTCGCGTGCGTGTAAACACGAGCTGCCCTGTACGGATTAAATATGGACTCGTTAATTAATTCTTCGTTCGACTTAATATATCGGAACTGATCGACGTAACTGTTTTCATTAATGTTATTCCAACGACCATAAGACAATATATATTTTCTTTTTTTTCGTTTCATTAATGCACAATTGGTGCTTAAATTCTAAGCTTCACGAAGGTATACTCCATATTCACTTCGAGGAAATGCACACAACATGTTATCTACCATCATACCGTATTTCACTGTTTGCCTCAGTTTGAATTCTTTATTTGTAAATATTTCGCATTGGCATCAACGATACTAGCGCTACCGACTCCGTTTTCACATTCAATAGACGGCTTTAATTACGCATTATTTTCAATTAATGACATAAATGTAATTGTAAATGATAGAAAAACATGTTTATTTTACTAAATATTGAAAAACGATAAAATGTCAGTAATTTCAATGAGTATAAGATGTGAATATTTTCAATTGAAACTTAAAATTTCTGTATTAATTCCAGTGCTATGATTTAATGATTTAAGTTAATATTGTAAAATATAAATCTTTCTTTGCTTTTAATTCTAAATGCAGACTGAACAGATTTGGCAAACATGATTCACTTCTATAAATATCGCAAATCATATAGCACTAACAATGATACTTGCAATAGCTTAATTTTGGCAAGGACTGCCTACTTACCCACTCCAGCAGATTCTTTCTTAGCTTCTTTTCCTCTTCTACCATAGCGAGCATATCGTGATAGGTAGCAGTGGCTATACCAATGTTCAAGGTGTCAGGTTCCAAAGACATCTTGCAGACTAGCTCGTCGTGCGAGAAAACGCAAAATCGTCGAAGATTTGAATAATGCGCTATGCAATCACGACCCATCTTTAACTGTTTTAACAGAAAAAGTCATTCAAATTATTTTTATTTATTTCCTAAATTTGGATTCAAAATATATTGTTAATTATTACTTACCCAGTCTGCAGGAGCAAAATTAACAGCCTCAGCAAAATTGTAACCTTGATTGAATCCTGCATGGTAAGCTCTAGGAAATGTAACAACAAATTCACCAGCATGCTGATCTGTTCTGTATACTGGCACACCTGTTGGAATGAATTTAGATTTTGTGGGGATATTATTTTAGCGCAATGTTATTTTTCTATTTGTATTGTAAATTTTCATGTGGAATAAGGTAGAATTGCAAAAAGTAAGTCATACCTTCATTTGTGAGAATGTTAGGATTCATGATAGTAACTAACTGGTGAAGCAAATCAGGTTGGCTGTGGAAGAGTTCAGGCGCAGCAGACTTCATGGACTTCTCAAACCTTTCAGCTTCATAACCAGGTACACCATACCATGTCTTAGGCTCTCCCCAGTGAAGATAATTGATTGAATAACTCCAGTGATCCTCATTATGCCAACAAAATGTGGCAAAACACATGCCTACGTACATCCACGGAACTTTCATGCCACTAATATCGGCATTGATGTGGCCAAGAACACTTCCTGGCAATACTGGCAGGTTATTCAAGTTCCAAGCTGATTCTGCATACTCTTGATCGCACGTGAAAAGATTCACGCTAGTCTTGGTTGGGAAGCCTGATCCATGATCCATTGTATGCAAGTCTGCTCCATACTCTACAGTAACGTCTTCATCAATTGATGAGACTATCCTCCAAAATTCTTTCTCTACCAATTCAGTTGGCACCATCTGTAAAAAAGTAGTTAATACTTCGATGCACTTTATCAAGAGATGTAAAAGTCATAATTAAAGCAAATTGTACTGACATGGACGGGTATGTTAAAATAATCGCTCTTGAACTGATCAGCCATCTCTCCAAACTGTTGTAAGGTATATTCTCTCTGTGCCTGCTCAAATCCAAAAGCTTCCATTGGTTTAGACACTTCTTCAGCAACGCACTTTGGACACCTCCAGTCTCCTTTCGGTATTTCTGTTAGTGGTGGCAGTAAACAGAATGTATGATAACTGTCATCGCAGCCATCACACAGTAACATGTTTTCTTCGTCATCTCCTTTTCCACAATTGTGACATATGTACTTAGCCAACTACAAAAATAATAGATTCTAGAAGAACGATCCTTAATAAAACAATTAATGTCGTTTTCATACTTACAGGATCATATTCATAGACCAACTTTAGACCTCTTGTTTTATTGCTTGCTGCTTTTTTGGTTTCTTTGGTATTGAAGCCAGCCATTTTAGGACCTGCTCCATAAAATTGCAATTTCTTGAGTTCCTTGCTGTTTTCCTTGTCTTTCTCTGCTGTAGCCGATCTTGTCCTGACGCTGTCTTTGTCTGGTGAACCTTTAACTACAAATAACATATTAAATGTTAAATTTGCAATTTTTGAATGATTCTTACCTTTGACATTATCCTTGCAATCTTCAGTTTTGATATCTTTAGCCTTGGTGCCATTTTTACCCTTGACAGGTGAAGGTGGTTTGCAATCAACATCAAGCTCTTCCTTACAATCTTCTTGTTTGATTGATGCACAACCATTTTGCTTTTCATCTTGTCCTGAAAATCTCTTTGACCTGCGCGAAAATTTCTCTTGTGGTGGCTTAATCTGTTGTCGTGATATGATTCCATGTGGTTTGTAATCTCTATCTTTCTTTTCATTCACATCAGACTCAGGCTCGATTTTCTAAAAATAGAAAGATTGTCTAAATAACATAAAATCAAAATAAAACTACATATTAGTATAGCTGTCAAGATAATTACAATGTCTGTTAAGGTTTTTCCTAATTTGAAGATGTCAAATGGATACAAAATCCTCTCATAATGACTTTTAAGAATACTGCCAACACTACGACCAGAAGGATAGCCTAATTTATTAGCTACCTTTGCCCATCTTCTTTCTTTTGTTACTGTTTCTATTCCACCTATAATAAAAACGTAAATAAATCACTCTAGGTTCCAATTTTTTTCTAATCTCAAGTAGTTTTTATTATTAAAATATTGTATTATTATTCAGTGATTCTTGATTTAATAAAAAAAATGCAGTTAAATTGTTTAAAGATATATTTGACAGAATGAACTGCTTAATAATTTGAAAGATATAAAGTGAACGATTGGAAGAAAGTTAATAATTTTACAGTTGGTTACAAGATCAATAATTGTATTGCAAATACAAAAAAATTATTAAATCTATCAAGTGAGAATGATAGACAAGGTACAATCAAAATAACAATTAAGAATTACCATTATGTATAAAATTAGTATATTGTCTGAAGATTGAAAGATTTAATGGCAAAACGCGAACTATACATTTCATGAAACCATAACTATATGCGCCTTACCTTCCTCAGTGACGATCCTGTGCAGCGAATACAAATCTAATGCCTTTCGCTCGACCAATGGAATTTTCAGCGAGGAGCCCTGTAACTCCCAGAATTTAGCGATCTGGTCGAGAAAATTAAGCTTTATCCGCGTCTTAGCCTCGAGCTCGTTCAACCGTTGTATCCTAGGCGTAAATTTGAACTTGTCCACGTCCACGGCAAAGGGTGGCTGCCAGTTCTAAAAAAAGCGTGGAAAAAAGATGAACGACCGAAAACACGCCGTGGAATCAATATTACCAAGCCGACGATCAACGAAATCGTTCATCCGGCACACGTATCGCGAACGACCCGGAAGTAAGTACACTCCTCTCCTTCCGCGCGAAGGACCCTACATCCGAGAAAATACATGCTGAACTTTGCAAATGGCGGAAAATATTTCGTCATTGCCAGCGAGAGACGGAGTCTGAGAGCGAAAGAGAAAAACGCCATCGCTTCGCTGGGCTCATAGCATCGTGCACATATAACAACCCTTTTTTTTGTTTTTCTTTATATCCCACGCACCCTCTGTGCGTTTTGTGTTATTCTTCGCGGAACACACAACGCGGATGGACTTCCGGGCGCGCGTGTACTTACGAAGGTGCAATCAATCAATAACGCCAAATCGCTAAACAACAGAGCGGCAACGGCAACGGTAGCTTTCAGAGTTGAAATGTGGGCGAGGACGCGCTGCAATTTTCTCCTCGGCGTCCGCGTACAACACGCACTTGTCACAACATATATCTCTCACTGGCGAACAAAGAGGCGTCCTACGGGTGTACACTTCAACACACGGTTTGCCGTCCTTACGTAACGTTACAAACAACCAGGACCCTTCCTCCACGCGCGACACGCTTTCGTCGAGAAGCAAAAAACGACAGACACAGAGCGCACGAAAAAAAAACAGTTTAAAAGGACGTGAAAATGCATGTTGTAATACTCACGGGTGGAGGCTTGATTTTACAGATGCCGGACTTCTCGGCGATGGGTCGTATTTTGGCTATATAGCCAAGGGGATCCAAAAACTCTTCAGTGGTTGGCTCGAACACGGGTGCTTCGGGTGGCGACACGAATTCAAAGTCCTGATCGCGTGCGCCGTGTTGAGAGCCATCGACGGCCCGTCTGCTTGCGCCCAGATTGCCACTCTGCGAGTCCATCGCGGGTGCGGAGGCGGTCGTTGCAGCCGCGGCGGCGGCAGTGCAGTTATTGTATCTGCTGTTGCCACCGTGATGATGGGACTTGGACACCATCTTCATGATGATGCACGTTATCACTCGTCGTCTTCGTCGCTTTCGCGCACACCACTTTTATCCGGCATTGACAGCGAGACGCTAGTCACGGAGGCCTCGCCAGCATCGCGACGAAGAGCCAAGCAGCACACGACCGACGACACACACGCTCTCTTAGCTCTTTCTCTCTCTAGCTCGCTCGTACAACTCTACTAAATCAGTCTGAGCTCCGACTTTCTCGCGAAGACACTGCCAGTAGTTGTATGGATAGCTGCACGCACAGAAAACGCAAAGAGGCAAGCAGCGCCACGAGTGGTACGATTTTCCTCTCTCTCTTTCTCTCGCACTGTCTCTCTCACTCACTCGGTCTCCCTCGCCCACGAGAACTGTATAGCTTCGTCCTCCTCGACGCTGTTCCTTCCACCACAGTAGCTTTGTCCTTACGGGATTGCTAAGCGCACAACTCTGTCCTAAAACACACGGAAACTCTCCGTAGCGTTCGCGTTAACCGCACCAGGCGTATAACACACTGCGTTCGGCTCGCCTTCACCGCACCGTTATAACATTGCACTCTTTCGTGGTAGTCTCGGCACGGCACGCGGCGACGGCGGCGTCTAACCCACTGTCACTTTGGCCGCTTTGGCGAAAAGAAAGTTTCGCGTTCAACACTCTCTGCTGCAGCAGCGTGGATGCGGAGTTGAGAGTATAGACGGGCAAACAATCGAGCCAAGGAAAAAGTTGCGACGCTATGCTCTTTGCGGTGTGTGCTTCTCCTTTATCTTGCTCACTCGTGTGCCTGTGTGCCAGCTTTCTCACTCGCTCTCGTGATGCACTGCTGCTGCGCTATGTGCGTTGCGTACACCACCAAACTAACTAAGGTGTATTTTAAATGTATATGTAAGATGTGCGTCGGTGTGCGCCACTGCTTGCATGCATGTGTTTCTCACACACACTAGCTACACACAGGCTACACAGTGGAGGGTACGGACTCGTGTAAAGAGGTTACACGTAGTATTCAATGAGATCACTTGGGGGCGCTTTTCGCCGCAATTGTCTTCTCTCTCTTCCTTTTTGCCTTCTCTCACGCACGGTAGCTGCTGCGTTTGTTTGGCTCTCCCGTTGTTAATAATAATAAATTGAGAGATTCATTTCCAGATTGATCTTGCTCCTGCGCGTTTTGTGAGTTTCTTTTTTTTTTGCGGGCTGGTTATGTTCTTGAATGCGAGCTTACAATATTATTTTTATATAACGGCGACACAATATAAAATACTTATATGAGAATAGGTACAGACATCAAGTAATGGCAATACTCCGCTATGCTCCGTTATACTTCGTGCAACTACACCATTATCCATGTTACGTGCGCCATGATGCCTTTAATCCGAATTGCATTACAAAAATTCTCACGATTTAACAATTTTTATAAATAAGCAAAAGCAAATCTGCAGAATAAATCAATTTAAAAAATGAATTTAGAAAATGGCCTGATAAAAATAAAATATTCGGCTTTGAGAATTGAATATCTGTGCACTTTTTCTGGTACAATATAAGTCATAATTTTTCTCGTGACGTATGTATGTTAGATGCAAGCTAGAAAAACGGATGAAAATTTTAATTGTAGAATCATTGAAAATTTGAAAATAAATCGTGCAAATAAATTTAAAAAAACGAACTACAAATGAATATTACAAAATTATACCTCGTATTGTTTCATGCCTACAACAGGTCAATCTATAAACCATCACAACAGTCAAGGTAAACAATAGACTTTATGGGCTAGCCACTTTATGGGATTAACATTTTTGTTTTAACATTTAACACGAAAAATCTCCGTTCATTAATTTTATAAACTTTTTTATCAAACGTTTCGAAGCAATAAATAAAATATACTAACAGTAATTAAAATCAAACCAAGTAAGCTTTTTAAATGATACAAGGTTTCAGCTTTTGATTTCACCAATACCGGAAAATTCCTATTATGACGTAAAGAAATACCGTAACAAGTTTGAATTATTTGTGAAACTCTGAAGTTTTGAAGTGAAATTTTTATTCCAAAATGACATAAGCATACTTTTTTGCAGTTATTTACATACATTATTAACAGTAATTTTATGATGTTTTTAATTAAAAAGGAATGGCATAATTATGATTTAAAAAATCAGATGTTGACTTTTTAATTAAAAAATCGTATGTTACAGTTCGAACTAATTATAACATCGTATAAATAAAAAATTTATATTATATTTTTTTTCAACATGAAAAACAGATGCAAATATGGATGATTAAAGGAAAATCATCTATCCAATTTTGTAAAACGAAAACGTATGACCATATAATAATATTTGGTAAGAGCTTTAACGTCCATATATATATATGTCATTTCTTAAAGATTCGGTGAACTCATGCAAGTAATTTTAATACGCAATAGGTAGAAAATTATAAATCCCACAGCATGTTGAAGTTTGACGAGGATCTAAGCATCGATCAATTGCCGTTAGATGTTTACGAGGCTATGATCGATGAGCTGAACCGGAATAAACATTGGAAAATTGTGGCGAACCACCTTATGCAAGAGGATGAATCTTACTCGGCGTATGTTCATAGAAAAGTTGGTTGTACTTATCCGATAAAATAGTGAATTTGCAAATTCTAGCTCTTGGATATCGTGTTTGGAAAGCCAAGCATCGTCAAAAAATAAGAAAAGTCCGGCGGAAAATTTACTCATAGATTTAAATATACGACTTGGCGACGTGCTTATACTTGATAAGATATTCAACGATTGTAATTTAAAGAGAGCATTATCCTTTTTACACTATCCAGGTAAATTATTCACTAATAAAACTTCTAAATTCACCAAATTCAATAGCGCTAATCAATTTACAATCATTTTGTCGTATATTAGAAAAACTGTACGTTTCAAAGCATCCGGATGACAATACGAACAATGCTAGTTTACAAGTCAGTTTTGGAAAACTGTCACTGAAATGTGAAGCCGAAGGCCTGCCACCGCCGAGTTATCAATGGTATCAGGAGGATAAAGTTTTGGAAAATGAGACCACAACTGAACTGAGTATCGATGTACAATCGTAAGGCAATTTAAACAGCAAATATCCGACGCGATGAATATAAATGAATGGTCAACTTTTAGAGAAGCGCAAGAAGGTACATACAAATGCAGGGTTTACCAGGTCGATCACAGAGGAGACGTTATATTTGAGGAATACTCCAAGCCTGTGTACATTAAAATCAAACCGATGCCAGTGACAATCATGAAACAGCCACCTACATTTTTGGAAGTCAAAGAAAATGATAATTTTATCTTACACTGCGAGGCTAGTTGCTACCCTAGTCCAAAATTCCAGTGGTACAAGGACAATGAAAGGCTAGACAATCAAACAACGGATACGCTAACTGTAACTACAGTTGTTTTACAGTTTTGAACAGGAAGTGAACATTATTTACATTTGATTTTGTTTCGTAGATTGAAAAGTTTTCAGCCAAGGGAGAAGGAAAGTATTATTGTCACATTTCGAATTACATTAGCGAACGTTATACGCAGCAAAGTACAGTTTTGGTAAGTAAGTCTAGAATTTATAACTGAGTTTGATAAGAGCCAAAAATTATCATTGATTTTACATTGTATGTTTCGATAATTCTAATATTGAATATTTTTCTAGCTCTAGTTTTTAGCTCTGAACACCTGTTGTATTTGCAAATCGCACATAACAATTAAAAGCTTCGTTGTTTTAAAAAAAAAACCTGATATAATTTTATGTAAGATTTAGCATTGTTGTTCTTGCCAATAGTACATCGTTCAAGTGACGCATATTAAAACATATATGCTAAATATATCTCATATTTTCATCTAGTTAATTTTAAAATGAATTGTAAACTCAAGCTCTATTCACTAAACGATATTGAAATTATGGGGCTATATTGTCGATAATTTTCTATGCAATATAGATACTAGTTATAGAGCTTCTTCAATTTCCATTGAATAAAACATTATTTCTTTTAAAATAAATACTTTCCAGATAGAACAGCCACGACAGAAAGCTACCGTAAAAGTAGCTTTGCTGATAGCCAATGAAAATTATGATAACCAAGAAGTACTCAGGACCCCGCGGAACGATGTAGCTAAAGTATCGAAAATTTTGAACAACTTGAATTTTCACGTTATTTGCCTGACCGACTTGACACTCGTGCAAATGAGAAACGCAATACGGATATTTTGCGATTTTCTGATCGACGGGGCTTACGGTTTTTATTAATTTCACAAACATTTTCTGTGAAAATTACACTCCAATTTTAGAAGGTATCGCGTTATTTCTACAGGTCTTTTCTACTTTGCCGGGCATGGATTTAGAATGCAAGAGAATTACATGCTGCCAGTTGATACGCCGACGAATTACCTAAGAAAAGACGCAATAAGCGAGAGTTTGTTGCTTTCGATGGCCTTGAAAAGCGATCCTGCCTTACTCGTTGTGATCCTGGACATGTGCCAAACAGCTCCGCCAGCGTAAGCCCTGAATGCCTATACACTTTTCATTCAAATCAACCTGTTGTTGAGTGAGAATTTCAATTGGATCTTTTCCAGCGAGCAAAATCCAGAAATTCACGAGGAATTGCCGGCAATTAACGAGTTCAAAGGGAAGAAGAATCTCCGAAATCTGTTGCTGGCTTATTCAACTTCAAGTTATCGTCCAAGTTATGAAAGAATGGGCAAGAATTATGGTTTGTATGCGACTCATCTGTGCAAATATCTGGAGGAAAATATATTTGTCACTAAAGTATTTGAACAAGTTGGCATATGTAAGTTTCGCTAACGTTTTGTAACTGATCTGTTAATGAAAAAATGTAATCGGAAAATTGTTCTGCAGCTATCGATGCAACATTAAGGGGAGCAGAACGAAAACAAATTCCAATGTTTGCAACAACAATAACAAAGCCTTATCGACTCACAGACAGTGTTTCTCACGGTAATGGAATGTGCACTATTAAGAATTGATAAAAAGTTCAATGTTTCATGCAGATACAAAGAAACATAAATAATACCTTGAATTGTAATAGTTATCTATATTTTCAGGTAACTTACCAAAAGCTATCGAAAATTTAGAAAAGACGGTAACATTTCCGAGTAAAGTTATAGAAATTAATTTTCAAAAAACTGGAATAAAATGTAAAGCAACGATATCTCAACTTATAAAACCATACTTTAATGTTGTTCAAGTCACATTGTCTGACTTGGATGAAAAGTATGATATCAATTTTTATAATTCTGTCCATACAAAACGCAACAATTTGTTTCAAAGCTCTAACAAATACAAGTGTTGGCTTTACAGTCCTCAGTCAAAAGAGGTATCAAATGTGATATACAAATTTAAGTTATATCGATGCCAACTATTCATGGTATATTTGTTATTTTAGGGTGCAATAGTTATATCTTTATTGGAAAATGGAATCCATATCGGTGCAACATTGTTGGACGTCAGTAAATTTGTTCCCTTGTTGTTAAATAAATTGAATCAGAAAAATTAGTAATATTTATGTTCTATTTAAAAAATTATATTTACCTCGTTATTACATATTATACTGAATGAAAAATTCGTTTTTATGAACAATAGATATATTTGATTTTTATTCCATTACAATTTTTTCCCAATAACACTGTTGAAGCTTTTCTTCTCAAAGCCTAAATAAAAAGCAAATCTAACAGATTTTGACATATGTAACAAAATGACTGTTCAAAAGAATTATTTTTATGTTAATTTAAATTAGATGAACTTCCATTACTAACTGTATTTACTGAAAGAAAAATTTTATTTTGGTAAAAAACTCAATCGGTTTAATATATTCTTAATTCGACTAAAACTTACTGCTGCTGATTTTGTCATAAAATGATTGATCTTGTTAACAGTCCAAGAAGACTCCACACCTTTTGTGAATTCACGAATAAATCTGTAATTACTAACAAACGAGCGCTGTGCATATTCTGGGTAATTTTGTATGTTCATCTTAATGTCATCGTGTCTATCTAGTTCATTTCTCAGACCACGTAAAGAGTGATACACTACTGTAATCTCCACAAACTTCTGCTCAGCTATAACAACAATAAATAGAATATAATACTTTAAAAAATCTGAAGACCAAATAATTCACCTCTGTTCTCATCAAACATTATTCCAATTAGATGAGGAAATATAACATAAATATCATTTTTATTTACAGCTATTAATTGCTTTTGCTCTGCAGTTAGAGAACTAATTCTACCCCTAATTTCATTAATAGCCTCGTTACTGACTAACTCTTGAATGCTTTCATAATTTTCTTCAGCTAAAGCATGTGAAATGACATGTAAAGCCTAGAAAAGGAATTCAATTAGTATGTATCAATAATAACTTTAAAAAATATACAATTAATAAAATGGAAAATCACTTGTTTTGATCCTTCTAAAAACTCGGACAAATTAAATTCTGGTTCCATGTAGGCTTTTATCACAAAATTATATCGCACTAAATTTTTTATAATGTTAATAAAACCTGGCCACAATAATTTTTGCTCATCTGTAAGAGGCGGCAAGTCCAATAAATTTTGGGCTTGATAATTCCTACATTGTATTACACTTGGTAAAAGTTTATTCAACAGTTTTGTTCTGATATGATTATAATTGTGTAAAAACGGTTTAGCACTCGTGGATACATTGAAATTCCGTAATGTTGTACAAAAAATGTTTTTGTAACAATTTGTTAGTAACATTGCTATAAAAAGTTGTTAAATTAAATACATGAGCCGCTTACGAATAGCGGCACATAAAACACATCTCATAGAGACTGTATAGTGTCTTGTCTTAGACATCTACCTAACCTCCAAAAAGTATTTATATTACACAAAGTGGAGGCGCTGCAGTCAAAATGTCCAGTTCATCGTCAGCACGTCAGCTGTTATATCTATGTATCTACCTCTTTCATTTTTTCTTTTTATCACTATCACTAGTATTAGTTCAAGTTAGTGCTTTTATTATATAAATGTTATCATTTATTTTACACTACGACATATTTAACTTTATTATACGATAACTTGTATTAGTATAGTCCCAGTGATGATATTGATAAAAAAATCATGAATTCTCAATGTGCACGTTTATTATCCCTTCAGTTGAAACGAGATTCTGTTTATTTTACAACAATCATTCGGCAACGGATTAGAACTCATTCATTAAGTGTTTCAAAGAGTAGAGTAAATCCGATCTCGTCAAGTGAAAATATTTTACGATATAGTAGCTATCCGCCAAAATGTTGGCAGTGTGATTTTCCGCAGAAGTCTGATTTGTTTTGTTCAAAGTGCAAAGCTCTACAGAAGCCACCGAAAGATTTGAATTATTTTGATATAATTGGAGTCAAGCAAGATTTTGATATCTCAGTAGAAGATGTTCAGAAAAAGTATAGAAAATTGCAAACTCTTTTGCATCCTGATAGATTTGGACAAAAGACGGAAGTATATTATCATTTTTTATTTTGATTCAGAATATACCTACTAGAAATTATCTAAAAATCGTATATTATAAGGTTGTTTTTTCTATGTTAAATAATTTTACAGAAAGAGCAAGATCTTTCGGAAAGTCTTTCATCTCTAGTCAATAAAGCTTACAGCACATTAATGCATCCATTAGACAGAGGTCTTTACATGCTGAAACTGCACAATGTTACTATACCAGAAGGTACAACAAGTTTAGAGCCTGAATTTTTAATGGAGATAATGGAGTTAAATGAAGAGATAGAAGAAGCATCTGAAAATAAAAAAAAAGTTTTAGAACTTTTGGTAAAAAATCGATCAACTTTGACTTTGTTAACCAGGTAAAAAACATTTTTAATTATTTATTTTTTCTATATTTAATTCAGATATAAAACTATTAAAATTACTTTTTAGAAAAATATCTGATGCTTTTCACCATCAAGACATCGAACAAGCTAAAAAATACTTAATTAGAATGAAATATTACATTAGCATTGAAGCACGTTTGAAACAATTGAAACAGAATTTAGGTATTGTAGAATAAATTAAATATTTTGTACATAAAGCTTTTTAAATAAATCTGTAACAACAGTTCAAAAAAAAAAATGTTTACAACATAAAAAAATACTTTATTGATTATCTATCTTCCACTGTTCAATCCACTGACATATTCTGTTGAGATTGTCAGCCATCTGATCAGCATTATCACTTTGCAGTTCATGAACAATCTCTTCTTTATATGAGTTTTTTGCTTCATCTAATAACACTTGAAAAATTTCACAGGACACATTATCTTCTAATTTTTTGCCACTGTATCCTCTAGCAACAAGGCGATCATATAATATGGTGTTGTTTGTTCTCATAACAAATACTATATCAAACCACCTTTCTGGGAAGAAATCTGAACTGTGATAATCCACAATTTTACCTCCACTAGCCATCATTGGTTCTAATAAATCTAGCAACTACAAAAGACAATAATATTATGATATTTTATCAATTCAATGAATCAAATGAATTACCTTATCCTCATCTAATATATATGACTGATATTGTTCATCATATACTTCTAAAGATTTGTTTTCAATAGCTAATTTGCTTATATCTAACCAATTGAAACCCGTACGTTCTGACAGCATTTTTGCTATTTCACTTTTGCCTGTTCCTGGAGTACCTAAAATTCAATATTAAACATAAAAAAAATAACTAAAATATGCAAGCATTTTTTAAAAAACATTCTTATAAAACATTATGTGCATTACCTGTTATCAAAATATTTGGTAACTTCCTATCCATACTTTTTAAATAATAAGTGATACAAAATATAAAGAAATTTAAAACTTATAACAATTCTATCTGTTCTATAAACTTCTACACTTGCAATGTTTTATCGTGATTTATTTGTTTATTTGAAAAGTTTCTTTTTGTTAAGGTTAACTTATAATTTTTTATACGTTTTACAATTACATTCTTGTCAAATTTTATATTTTTCCGTGGAAATATATTTTAAGCCGCTTATTTATTGGGATATCTGATTAAAAGAGACAAATAACTTATCTTATTCACGGAGCGATATTTCCAAATCGCGAACAATATCACATGTGTTCTATAGGTGTATTTTTAGAGCAAAGTATAGTCGGCGGCGCGCAAACGATATAAGTATAGGGGGTAGAGATCGGTGCACTGCCAGAATCGCTCGACGTGGTAGTACTGTAGACGAGACTTCATCTGTGCAATTTAAAAATGGCGGACAATACGTGAAGCAGAACGTGCGTTGTTGGCGCCTGGGAATATCTAACGTACGTGATAACTTATTAACGAACTGTAAATGTAAAATCGTAAGAACAGTTGTAGTGATTAAATTAGTCTTCCCGAACGTTGTTTCGAACCGACAGTATTGAAGCTTAGCTTTTAATTTAGACTTTAGCCACTTTGAAAGTCAATAATATTAGATACATTGTAAAACTGTTTTTTTTTATCCTCGTTGACTATTATCGTCGATGTGTTATCAGTTCGTCTGTTAACAGATTGTCAATGTTATTTTGAAAGAATAAAGTTTTTACAGTTTAAGGGCGCAAATCAACCTTCTATACATCAAGATCGAAGACTAAGAAGCTGTGAAGAGTGTTAAGATAATAAAATTAATTATTAACGCTTGAGAAAAAATTTGCAAAAAATCGCTTAAACAGCCGTCGGCTTAACAGAAAATAAATTGCTGAATTAATATTCTTGAGCAATGCAAAAATAGTACTTGCCAAAGTGGATTCTATACAAATCAATAGATTTGCTTTGCTATCTTTGATGGAACTTTAGTTATTTAATATTACAAATAAACTTGTAAGTCATTTAACAGATGTTTTAACAAATTTAAGTAAAATGATGGCAACATATAACTTTCAAGTATGTTTGTATCTGTGAACTTATATAGTGGATCAAAAGTAACAACTATTGATATTGGAAGGCCAGTAAACCTACCAGACATAAACAAAAAGGTTATGAGGCTTCAATATAAACCTCAAATTACTTTAATATACTTTTTCTTTCTTTTTATTTCTTCTTTTGGAATCAACTATGGCGGATAAGTGCAAAGTGGGTAAACTTACATATAATAATTTTATCAGTCATATTCTCCTTCTATCATTCCACTATCACTAACTATATATTTTTATTGCAGGAGTGTGGTTGCATATGTAACCAGTGCCATGAACCCAGAGAAAAGCACAATGACATGCATCTGCATGCCGAAATAGAACATCTGCGTCAACGTTTGCTTGAGAGGGACAACCATATTGTAACAATGGAGACACAATTTTTAAATGAAGCTGAAAAATTTCCAAATGGAGAGTTGGCTTCGTTGAAAGAGGAACTACTTATCTGGCAAGATAAGTACACAAGGCTGCACGAGGCTCATAAACGGGTGCAAAAAGTCAACCAAAATCTCGAGGACAAGCTGTTGAAAATTGTTGACAAATGTGAGACTGAGAAAGGTGCCTTTACTAAGGATGTAGCCACACTATCTCATAGGTTAGCTGAAGCCAATTATACAATTCATCGTTTAACTCAAGATAATGTAAGTGAAATTTTTCAAAATTAATATTCAATATAAAACTATACAATTATCATTTTACATAAAAATATGTTGATTTCAGGAAAAGTACAGAAGTGATGTAAACTTAGCGATCCAACTACTCCAATGTAAGCCATCAAATTTTATTGGACAAAAATATGAGGCTGTAAGCATCTAACCATTTTTATCTGTGGTTTCATGATATTTGAAATAAATTGTGTTTGAAATGTTGCAATTTTGATTGATTTCAGTTGCCATCTGAAGTTCAAGCCAAAGTAAAGTCGTACGTCGCGCAAAAGAGTCGTCCAAGCGAGACGCCAAGCACGGAAGTGCGAAGTATAACAGTACCCATATCCACCTTCCCACCAACCGCAATGGTCTATAACTTGGCGAAGCCAGTGATCAAAAAGCAGCCGACCTCAAGTAATAGTGACGACGACGATTCTAAACCCCCTGTAGACGTCGTATCAGCAGCGATAATGGCCAAAATTTTAGAAGACAGAGAAAAAGAAAAAATATTCTCACGGCATTGCAACACATGCACCTGTCACCGTAGTATTCTAAAGATAGACAGCGAAAGCCAAACTGAACTGGAGCAGACTAACATTGGTTCTAACGAATTAGTAAGTAAGAAGCAATATCGAGAATCATCTCAACCCGAAGCTCGCGAGATGGTTCTTGGCAACAGCAACAATGAAATGAACGTTAAGCGAGTTACATTTCATTCTGTGAATGAAAAAGCCGAAAGCTCTAAAGTATTAAACGGCAGTACCAAAAACAACCTGAATTTGAAGAGTACGAGTAAGCAGAACAAGAATGTGATCAAATCGCCGCAGACGCATGCGAATAACATAAACAACAATCAGCTTCAAAGATCTACGAAGAATTTCGATGACCAAGCTAAATTGGACATCATAAACGAACGATTGTGGAAGAGCACTTGGAAAGATCAATCGTCCGCCAATGCCAAAGACGAAGATGTAAAAATCGACGTAATCAACGATAGGATTTGGCGAAAAAATAAGAATGACAACAACGTGAACGTCAAACCCACGCGCATGATGGTGATCGAGGTGAGGAGCTCGGACGAGTCGACAAATCACAGCGAAATGACAAATCCAACGGAAACGACGACAAGTCCGAGCTTCAGCAACGACAGCATGCTAATATCCTCGTCAGATCCGTCAAGTGTTTCAAGTGACCAAGGGCCACGCAATTGTTTGATGCCCGTGACTCCAGGCTCGAAGAATATCCTTCTAGATACTGTCGGTGCTTACGAAACGATTCTGTACACCAGCAACTGTAATAGCAGTAGCCGGCCCAATGCTGCGCTCGTACATCATCTAGGAAAATTGTCACGCTCGTCGGTTAGCAGCAGCGAGGACGACGCACAGTTACAACGAGTCGCGCAATGGGTCGATACCCTCGATTCGCAAGAATCTCAGGCGACGCAGCAATCGACTGACCTGATGACCTTTGAAGGTTCCAGTGACGAAGAACACAAGCTTATGTTGGACATTGTGGATCAAGGTGAGTTAACACAGGAAATCGAGGAGACTTATATGAAGCTAGCGGCTAGCTTGGGCTCCAGTAAGCAACGACTGCTGAATCCTCAGGATATCAATTTGATGACGGTGGAGGAGTACAGGAAGGAGCAGAAAAGGCAGAAGAGCAAGCTCACTGTCTAGACTTGTAAACGTATAATTATTTATTACTTCGTCGTTCGTAGAATGACCGATGCGCCAAATGTACAGATATTGTTCTCATTTATATTACGGGCATGTAAAAACTAAGCTCACTTTCGAGTAGTGTTCGCTTTTCAATAAATTTTTTTTTTCTTTTGAGTCTGAGGGACATGATGCATTATAAGCAAAATTACGCGTCGATTGGTCATTCAACAAAGCTCAATATAATTGATGATTTTGAATGAAGCTTCAGTTTCGAGAATGTTGTAAATATATATTGTTTTTTTTTTTTTATATTTGAGCCAAAAAACGACGTAATTTATTTGAGAAGGTCTATATTTTTTATTATGACATTTTTCAAATAGCTGAATGTCACATCACAAATCATATAGTTCCTTTATGTAACATAATAATTCTACTTCTTTGATGAATTTATACCGTACTGTTAACAATATTGCATTGGAAAATAAGAGAATTATGGACGTTTATCAGTTTGATCCTCGGTAACAATTGTCATAAAAGAGACATATCTAGAATCAATGGATTAGTATTTCAAACAAAAGACATATTTTACACTGATGTATAAAAAGTGAAGTGTTAAACACGTTCAAGCTCCTTTTAACAACAATATATAACAGTGCTTTGGAGTATTTATGTTTTTTGATTGAATAGACATGAGTGAATCTCATACTCTATTGACTAGTCTGAAACTACTAGCCGCAAATTATAGCAATTTTCAAGATGGTGATAATAATTTAGCGAAATAAGTTTAGAATTAAAACAAATCTTTAGTAACATGGTGCTGAGATATTATTAAAAAAAATTAATACAGTGCATGTTCGAGTAATTTCCGTTCTGCGTTGTTGAAAAGCTAATGTCGTTTCAAAAAGTTCAGAACCAATGCAGGACATATATAAACTGCTAAAAAATACGTTGTTTTAACTTGCCTATACTGTGTATTTCAGCAAACAATATTCTACAAATGTACATAAAAGCTCGTGTGAGTTGAAGATATATTTTATGAACTATAAAAATTACACTAGATAATTTGACGAAGATCTATCAACTAATTGTGAGTACAAAGTAGTTGAGAGAAAAAACAGTCATTCATAAAAGAGAAAGGAGATATTATACGTATTTCAATTTGATTGAAATTATCTTCGAAATGATGCAATATAAAATTAGTTTGGCAAAAAAAATTCTATACATATAAGCTTCGTAATATACGTAAATGACGATATAAATTCTCATTTGCATTTTTCGAGATGGATTACAAGTAAAATAATATACATTGTGTTAGGCTTTGCTATATATCATTCCAGGCGCTGAATAATATCTGTATCACATATATAACTAAATATCTTCGACTTCTAAAAGTTATTAATTTACATCGGTTTACTTGTTAATTTACTGCAGTTACTGCTAATCCCGTGACATTTGTTTATCATTATTTTTGTTCACATTGTTGTACTTTGTAGATCTGTATACACTTGTTTTTGTCACTCGAGTGAACGCAAAAATTGTAAATTTTCCGTTTGTACTTGGAGGCAAAGTCTTCTGTAATGTAAAGAGACATACATTTTCGTGTAAAAATATGAAATAAACATTTTTACTTCATAAAACATTTATTGAAAATGCGATACGATTTATCTTATCATTATTTTACGTTGCGAATTCATTCACTGTTTAATATAATAGACAATTGATAAATTATTGTATACTGTTTCGTCACGTAAATTTCATATGATCAGATGCTTCTGCTGTCGAAGAAAACAATCTTGCATTCCGCTGATACCAATCTAATGATATATCAAGCGTAAGAAAGTCTATGAATTAAAGAAGATCAGCAATCGAAGCAAGCATCCTCAGCACATCAGCCATCCACAACTGTAAATCGGCAATCCCGAGATTCGCGGCGTAACTCAAAGAATCACCTTCGGTCGCGCGATACAGAGAGCGGATGAAAAAGTAGGGAGACGGTAAATTCATGGCGAGAGAAGAAGAAAAAGGGGGTCGCCGCGCGCGTTCGGCGGAAGGAGGCCGAGCCCAGAGTCTTTTTTTCCAATTAGGCTAATGCCTCGATAATTCGGACACATGCAAACACACACACACACACACACACACAAACGGTGCATACGTACGCGATGGCCTTCGATCACCGGCTAATGAATCAATGCTCGCGCGGCGGCGGCCTCGCGCGCCCCTGCGTCTGCTGACCCTTTTCAGCGTTAAATGCGCACACCATCCTTCTTGTATCGCTCGAAGCTACAATCAGAGCTTTTCCGACGACGATCAGCCTTGTCTCGACATGTCCGATCGGTTCGCCAATAGCTTTACCAGGGATCGCCTTTGCCTTGTCTTGCTATTTTTCGAATTTCAATGAGCTCCAGGCAAAGTTCTCTGATTATCCGTTAGGTTTCGGCTTTCAAGTTTGCAAATTTCGACTACGCGAGCGGACCAACTGATTTCTCTCCGCGTTTGGTTGTCGACTCGAACAATTTTCAATGTGTCTTTTAAGGTAAATTTCTTGAGCGCGTTTGTCGACTCGCACGTCGGTTCTCATTCGGCTCTCACGACGCATAGTAATTTATTCATCGTCCGACACGCGAAAACCAAAGTCGATCCGGTGTCAAAGTCCGTACAAATAAAAATCTCGTAGCTACGTAACAACGGCAAGCTCGGTAATGATATGCTCGACGCCGTTGAATCCATCACCCCGAGACTTAGGGGGGCGGGAGGGGGGCAGCAAGCCTTTGAAGCAAGCGTCTAAGTCCTGGCGAGCAGGGAGTTCCAACCATACGCGAGCATCGATCGTGGCCAGGCATTCTCGTGGGATCCCGTGCGAGCACAACGCGCGTGAGAAGAGCTTGCACGCACACCAGAGAGAGAGAGAGAGAGAGAGAGAGACAGACAGAGAGAGCCCTTACGTACGAAGGCGAAGACGGGGTGTAGCGGCCGCTAAGCGACGGCGTGATTTAGGCCTCCGATATCCGAGTATTTTTCCGCGACCTACATCTTCGAGCTCGAACTTCGAGGTCAAGCACACGCCTTTCCGAAGCTCGCGCCGATACGAGTGCCAGCGCGCTCGAGACAGTCTCCCGATTCGCCGGGAACGAGGGGGCGAGCTGGCGATCGCCGTCGACCCGCCGCGCGAGGCAGCTCTTCTTCGGCGGCGAGCGAGCAGTTTTCAGTCGGCGCGCGCCCCTCCCCTGCCCGCCTCGCGGCAACCTCGCCGCTGAAAAGTCCGAGCCGGCCGAGTCAGTCAGGACGCGCTCGCGCTCGCGACAACAAGCCCCAAGCTCTCTCTCTCTCTCTCTCTCTCTCCCTCCGTCTCTCGCAGGCGGCTCGCCGGTAAACAACCGCGGCGCCTGCCGTGTCTCGCGCAGTCGGCCGTCCTCCAGCGCCAAGACCGGCAGCTTTGACGCGCGTGCACGCCGTAAGTATAATGCCGCGCCGTCGAGGAGCCGCTGGCCGAAGAGATCGCCGAGCGCTGATTTCGAGCGGCGCGCGGCGCTCGTGGTCGATAAGTGCCCGCTCGCAGCTGCCTCGCCGCGCCGCGTCCTTCTCGGGCCAGGAACACGTGGCTGCGGCCGTGCTCTCTCTCTCTCTCTTCTTTCTCTTTTGTTTCGTTTTATTTTGCTCTCTTTGCGCGCCTCGCCGCCCGCGCGTCCTCTCTGTCGCCGCCGTCTTATCGCGCGATTAACTGCCCCTGGGCCCGCGACACGAGTTTGCATTTCTATTAGGACGCTATTTTCGGCGCCACCGCAGCACACCACTGCGACCGGGCTGAGCCTCTTTTCACTTCTTCGATCACATTTCGGCAACGTTTTCGCCCCTTTTCGCCTTGGCCAATTGCCTTTTGGGCGGCGCACGGCGATTTATCTCTCCTAACTTTCGTCGGAACGTTTCAGAAACTTCAAGTGCATCGAGCATTTAATATTCTCGTTAGAAAGTTGGGGTAAATAGAAATTCTTCAAGCAAACATATCACTTTCAAAAATACTTTCCAACAAATTTAGCATAAAAATGTTTGAGTTGTCAAAACGATTCTTATGTATTCGCGAGATTTGATTTCTAATGGACTCGAACTAAACTTAATTTGCTGATTCTGTTATCGAGTGTGTCGTATAAAATGTTGTTTACACGAGGATTGTTCGGCTGATTACTTTTGGAAATTCGTTATAAAGATCTAACGAACAGTTGTGCTAAGAGATCGACCTGAATGTAAGTTGCAAACGATATATATACAAATAATTATTACAACTCATTCAAGCTCAAATTAATTTTCTAACTTAAAATCTCCATCAGTAGCTCTGAGATAGCTTCTTGTTGATTCAATCTAATTTGGCCAACTTTTTTCGTATATTAAGCGTAATATATCGTGATAACTTTGCATTTGACTTGCTCAGACGTTTAATTTTTAGCTTTCGTGAATTTATATTATACCAAACGATACTCGTCGAATTTGATAATAACGCTTGCACGTAATGGTGCCGCGATAAAAAAAAACAGAAAAGAAATCAAGAACGTAAGCATTAGATATTATTAGAGAGATTTCAAACATTTGCACGAATCGCCGGGAGTTAAAGTCCAAAGTGACGCGTGTGTGAGTGTGCGAAGCAACGAGATTGAGTTGAAGCTTAACTGGTTTGTCTTGAATTTTTGCGCGATTGTCAGCAAGACTTGATTAAATTTGCGTGTTATTTCTAGCGCTGCCCCGTAGACATCGTCGAGTCGGGCAATCCGGAAAAGAAAGAAACAAAAATATAGGACACGGGAAGACGCGCAAAGGCCGCGAGGGTCTCCAATTGTTCCGCCGCGGACAAGCAGGATCGGCGCGCGGACGGGCGGCAGCGTTAATTTTCGCGCAAGCTCGCGCGCGCTTTCTAGCGCCGGTCCCTTCCAGCCTTTCCGCGAACGGCCAATTCTCCTTCTCTCGGCTGACCGCGCCGATGTCTCAATGATCGTGTGCGCGCACGCCTCCGAGCGCCGGCTAATTCGCCAGCTCCACTTTCGCGTGCATCGCGGCAGTCTTCTTAATCGATAAACAGGAAAAAAAAAAAATTACCGGTGCTCGTGTGCCTTGGCTCGCTCTACATCGACGCGGCTGCTAACGGATTGCGCGTTTTCGCGTACGCTCGTCTGATTATTATTATTATTATTATCATCATCAGTTTTTTTTTTCTCGTAGATCCTCGTAGGAGATTCTCGACAAGAATCTTTCGCTATTGCACTTTCCATTAGAATTTTTTAATACTTCCATTATCGGCTTCTTGCGCGTAACGACGCTCGCGCGCGGAACGTTGGACAGTCGTTTCCTCGAGACGAACGCGCCAAAACTATATCGAAGCCGATTAACGGTCGGATCGCGTAATTTTTTACGACTGGGGATTCCCGAGCGAGCGTGAGACCGTTAGAAAGTTGGCGATACGCATCGGCGCAACGAAATCGCGGCGCCGCGCTCGAGCTCGGCGAGGCAAAAATCACTCGGACCGCCGCCGACTCCGCCTCGACGTCCAAGGCGCCGCAGCCGCGAGAAAACCAGGCGCATTGGCAAACATCCCATCGGAGCGGCGCGGCTCGACGCCAGGGTGCGTTTCTCGCGCCGATGCGCACGAGCGCGCCTCGAGACGCGCCTCCGCCGATTTGCATTCTCTTCCGCCGTCCTTTGTTGTCCTTCCGCGAAAGAGCGACAATCGTTCGTTCGCCGATCGTGCCGCGCCCGCCGGCGCCACTTCTCGCTGTCCCCGTCCGTTTCTCAAAGCCGCGCTCCCGAGCGCCGGGTCCTTCGCGCCGATCTCGGACGGAGCTCCCGCGATACGCTCCGCCACCGTAGCGAGACGCTATTCCATGCGCGTCGTTACATTTGGAAACTACATATTGGCGAATCACCGTTGGCTAACGTTGCTCGCTGCGGCTGTAATGGGCAGCGATCGGCAGCGATACTTTCGCGGCGTTAATTAACGGGAGTGCGCGCGACGGGCCGTCGCCGATCAATTAAAAACTTACGCGATAAGGCTCCTCCGGACGCAGCGTGGAGAGAAGGCGCACGCTCGAGGAACGACGATCGACGAGGAAGGGATCGGGTCTCGCCCTCGCCGTCGTCCCGGCGTTGTCGAAGTGAAAACGCTCGACCGCGGCCGCGTGTCGAAGTGAAAAGTGTTCCGCGCGGAAGCAAAGAGTAGAAAGAGAGAGAGAGAGAGAAAACGAGATCGCATCCCACGGAGATGGGCGGCGACGACGACGCCGACGACGGGCTCGCGAGCTGGACGGCTATTAGGCAACGGTACTCCCGCGAGGACCGCAACTCTCGGCCGTCGCCCGTGCGAGCGCGAGGTGAACGCGTGCGTCTCTCGAGGCGCGAGATAACTGTGAAAAAGAGCCGAGTGCGAGATTTATAAATTTCCACGTCGCCCGCATGACGCCTCGCGGGAACCAGTGCGGTCTAGCGGCCCCTTTCGAATTAAATATCTGCTCGTGATTTAGCGCTCGGGCGCGTGTGCGCGCCGGAGTTTAACGCCGAGAATTAGCATAGTTGTAAAAGCTAAAGAGATGGGAGGCAAAATGCAAACCCGTTAAGAACTCAGAAGCGGGCTAAACACACGTCCGCCGGTTCATCGAGAGGAGAGCGGCTGCCGGTCGCGGAGTTTGCGCCAATCGACACCTGGCAGCTTCGTTTCGTTGCATTCAATCGCTCGTCCGCGCAGGCCGAACGCGAGTTGCGAAAGCTCCCCGATCGCTATCTCGGAACGTACCCCGAGGCGGAGCACGTCCAGCAATTGGAGCCCATAAACGAGTCGAAGAGTCGAATAAACCGAGCGAATCTGCTCGAAAAGCTCGTTCGCGCGCGATCTTAATCGACGCGCGAACAAGCGAAAGTTGGATCGCCCGATCGCGAGGCTGTTAAACTCGACGGAGAGAGAGAGAGAGAGAGAGAGAGAGAGAGAGAGAGAGAGAGAGAGAGAGAGAGAGTCGCGCGCGTTTTCCGGAACGGAGACGGCGCCCGGCAATTAACCGGGGCAACCGAACGATCTCCACAGCGCGTCGGAGGCACCGTCAGAGTGGCGGAGCGCTCGCAGATGCTGACGAGCGCCGGCCGGCCGTCGACGAGCGCGGCGCGGCGGATGAGGCGGTGTCGTCAGTCGCCAGCAGCAGCCCCAGCAGCAGCAGGATGCGGCGCCACGAGGGGAGCGGCAGCCCACGGCGCGGCCAGGCGGCGGCGTTCCGCGTGCTGTCGCCGGGCCGGCAGCCGGCGCGCTGCGAGCCGCGGGCCGCGCAGCCGGCGCCGCCGCCGTCGCGCGCGCCCGAGCCCTACAAGCTCGCCGCGCCCGGGCGCAGCCAGCGCCGCTCGGCCTTCGCCATAATCGCCGAGGCGCCGCGCGGCGCCGAGCGCGACGACGCCCCCGGGCCCGCCGGGCTGCCCGCCTCCGGCCGGGTCTCGCCCTTCCGGGGCCGCGGCTTCAAGGGGCCGCCGCCCCGGTCCAGGTCCAGGCCGCGCTCGCCGCCCAGAGGTGCGACGCGCCCGCCTCGCCTCGCCCCTCGCCCGCCGCGGCGGGCGACCGGCGGGCCGAGGTCTGACCGATCGGTGTCGGCCCGCAGGCAGCTCCGCGCACGCCAGCCCGAGGCGCAGCTCCAGCCAGATCCCGCGGCCGGCCAACGGCGGCAGGGCGGCGCCGCTGGGCGCCAGCCGCGAGGACCTGTCGCGCGGGGCGTCGCCCAGGTTCGGGCGGCGCGCGGCCGCCGGCAGCCAGCGCATCGCGGCCAGCCCCGGGAGGAACGGCCAAGGCGTCAAGACGCCCGGCAAGGGGCCACCCGTCGCCGCCAACGGCAAGCTCAAGGTCGCCACAATTTCACGCTATTTACGTACGCGAGGGAAGGGGTGGGCGAGGGCGCAAGGCTTTGTATGTCAGAAATGCGCGCGATACCAATCTCGGCTCCTCTCTCTCTCTTTCCCTCTCTCTCGACGATTGTTTGCTGCATGCACACATGCTTCTTGCTTTTTCTTCTTTTCCTTTTCTTTTGAAAATTGCATTGATTTCGCTCGCGTAGCGCAACGTTGCTTCCGGCAATTACGAGGAAACCGGGCCACGCGTGAGCTTCTCGTCGAGGAAAACACTGTCGTAAAAGTCGCAAGCCTCTTATTAACGCAATGTTTGTAAAACGAAGAATCGGCACTCGTGATCGACGTCAGCTTTACCGCTGATTTCCGAGCGTTACAAGTAAAATTGCTCACGAGAGTTGCGATTTTTCAGCAGAAGCCAACGGGTGCGAGCGAAGAGATCAACAACAAGCTGTTGCGTCTGCCGCCGAAGAATCTGCCGAGTGGCAAGAGGTTCGTCACTGCCAACAACAACACCAACAACAGCAACAACAGCAACAACAGCCACAGCAACAACAACGGCAACGACAACGGCAGCAGCAATAACAACAACAATAGCAACAACGTTAGTGGCAACAGCACCAACAACAGTGTGAACCGCGCAAACGTGGCGCCGCGAGTCAAGCATCAGCAGCAGCAGCAGCAGCAGCAGCAGCAGCAGCAGCAGAATGGCACGGTCGACGGCTCGGTCGAGTCGCCGTCGAAGATACCGTTGCGAAACGGCAACGCGTCGCTCGGCGCCTCCAGGGAGGTGCTCGACAAGGCCGTCAAGCAGAAGGACACCAAGAGCAACGGCCACGACGAGAGGGACGCCCGCGAGGCCGCCGGCAAGGTGCGTTCGATCACGTCCGACCGCCGCTCCGACACCTGACGGGCGCGACCGCCGTTACTTCCGCAGACGGACCAGCCGGCAAGCGACGAGCAGCCGGAGCTCCAGCTCGTCGACCTCCTGAAGCAGTCGTCGAGCGCGACCGGCACGCAGAGCGTGGTCAACACGACGACGACCACGGCGGTGCAGCCGCTGCAGATCGACGCGGCCTCGATACTCGCCGAGGCCGAGCTGGTGGCCAAGCTGAGCAGCCTGGAGCGGAAGCAGCGCGAGCTGGAGGCCCGCGGCGCGGAGGAGGCGCGCGCGCGCAAGGACCCGGCCGACGAGCGCCCGAGGAACGGACCCTACACCCAGGCCATGATCAAGCACTTCGGGCCCGGCGCGGCGAGCGCCGAGGAGCAGCGCGCCGCCGCGGGCCCGCAGCCGGAGCCGCGCCAGGGGGCGCCGGGCGAGGGCGCCGAGCGGCCGCCGGCCGCTCGTGCGCCGCGCTCGCGCTCGCCCCGTTCCGCCGCTCGGCAGGAGGACGGCGCGGCCTCGCCGGGGGGCGGCCCGGCGCGCGGCAGCCCGCCGGCCTCGCCGCGGGCCCGCGACGCCCGGCCCGCGACGCCCGGCTCGCCGGGCAGCGTCCGCTCCGCCGACACGGGCGTCAGCCTGGACACCGTGCGGGGCGTGTCGTCGGCCAGGGAGAGGAGCGGCGTGCACGCGGTCAAGCGGCCAGAGCAGATCCAGAGCCTCAGCGGCAACGTGGTGCAGGCCGACGGCAACGGCGAGCCAGCGTCAGTATACCGCGCGCACGCACGCGCACACGCGCCTCCTGCACTCGTCCGTCGGCGCGGCGCGCCGCGCTCCGAGTTCCTTAACCCTCGGCCGGGAGGCGGGCGGCGGAGGGGGAGGGCGGCCGTATGCGCGCGAGCCCGAGTATCGATCGCGCGCGCGCGCCGTCCGCTGCACGCTCGGCCAGGTGAGCGGGCGATTTACATCGTCGCCGGACCCCAAGGGCTCGATAAATCAGCCGCCCCCTCGCCGGCCGCCGCGTCTCGCGGATTTATACGCCTGCCCCGGCGCCCGGCGCCCGGCACACTCCGCCGCGTCTCGTCAACGTCGCGACGCCCGTTGGTTCGTCATCGCCGCGGCTCTTTCGACTCTGCGTGCGTCGGTGGCTTGGCGCCGCGGACTTTTGGACTGTCGATCGTTCGCAGAGCATCGACGCGGGAAAGCTTCTTCCAGCCTCGATTGGATTTGTCGATCGCCGTCGAATGCAAAATACGTCCAATTTTCTGCCTCCCCTTGCAGCAACCGGCGGCGAGTACGCTTTGCAATCGATGTACTCGCAGCGAGGCGACGAGGGCGAGTCGATAAATCGGGCGTCGTCGCGAACGAATTCGATTGACGATCCCCGCGAGGGTCGCGGTAAATTCACGGCACCGTCGTTGGCGGAACGGCCTGATGAATATCGAATGGCCGATGTTGCGCGGCGCTTAATAGCGATCGGAGCGCCCGATTTATTACCAATACGTTACCGTTATACCGCCCGTTCGAGTCATTTGGCGACACCGAAGGACAGCCTTCAGCCCAGTCATCGGCTCGTCTAGGCTTGACGCTGAGTATTCTCGCATCTGCCGTTCTTCGGATCACGTGGCTGCTTTTTTCCGTATCGAAACTTCATCCGTAATTGGCTCGCGAAATTGAGCACGGCTGCGAAGTTACGACCCTGCGAGTTCCCTTTTCGATTAGACCATTTTGGCGACGACGCTCCGGAACGGCGCTCCTCTGTTTTCCACAGTTTCAGGACTTTCGCCAATTTTCCACGCCACTTTTCCGACTCAGCCTTATCGGACGGGATCGCCGTGCGTTCGTTTAATTGCGCTCGCGCGCACGGCGATCGCCTTGCAGCGCGGTCGCGCGGCGGCGATGCTTTCGCGAACGCGGCAAAGTGCCGAGGAAGAGCGCGCTGGACGGAACTCGCGCCGCCGCTCCGGCCGAACGCGGGAGCCAAGAGCGACAACGGGACGCGATTTGGCAGCTCGGAAGCGCGTCGCGGATCGACGAGACGATCCCGTTGGTCCGTGAGCGCGAGGCCGACGTCGACGGGCCGGCGGTCCAGCCAATGGCTCTCGAGGGATCGCCGCGCCGGTTTCGAGCAGCGCCAAGCCGACGGACTGGTCGTCCGTTGCGAATTGCCATCGCGCGGAAGGCTCGGCATTGCGCAACGGATCCACGTTCCATTGGTAGGGAGCTACAATGGTGCTCGATAGGCGCGCAAAGCTAAGGCAAAGCGAGAGGAAACCGAAGCGAGCAATTCAATGGCAATGGGCTCGCTTTGCACATGCGTAAGCAGCTTTCTCGATTCGACGACCGAATCGTGCTAAGAGAGCACGCCCATCGATTGAGAGCGTGTGCGCGTACTCGAAGAGGCGTCGTCTTTGTTTAGACTGCTTCGATCGTAAAAGCTGTTCGTTCGGCTGGCGCGCATCAACGGGAAGATTGGAGCGAGCATTTCAATTATATAACTCACGGACGGAGATGTCGACAGCGCGCGTGTGGTGACTCGACGAGATTGGCATTGGAAGATTCGTCGGCGCTGTCGGTTATCGAAAGCTCTAATCGTGGCGAGCCGCGATTACAGCTTTCATCCTCGCGTTGGGTTCCCGCCAGTTTTACCCGCATTGGCATTTCACTGGATTTCCTCGAGCGGATAATTTTCAATGCGCGTTTCCGCCGCTCGTACCCGCGGGAAACGCATCTTGGAGCGAAAAAAGCAACGAGAGGAAAAAAGGAAAATTGAGCGAAGACGCCTGCAATCGCGAAGTGGCAGTGCGTCACGAACCGACGAGCGTATTCTTGGCTCGGAATTAATCTCTGCTGCGACTGATCGAAGCCTTCTATTTGTTCGCCCTGCGAATCGTCGATACCACGCGAACACTCCGTCATATCGGAGTGGAATGCTTTCGAATGGCAAATTACCGAGCCTGACGCGATCAGTGCGATTCCCTCGTCGCGAGCTCGAACAAAGAGAGAAAGAAAGGAACCTCGCACTTAAACTAAACTAAAAACTTTCTCCCCCACGAAGAGTTTCGACCGACGAGTGGCATCGCGAAACGAAGGAAATCGTTCCATCTCGCACACGAAGATCTCGTTAAATACACGCATCAGGGATCGAGAAACGCTCGAGAGAGAGAGAGAGTGGAGCATGAAGTGTCTATATGAGAAGCGCGCACGGTAGCGCAGTAGAGGCGGTTGCTACGCGACAGCGGAGAGAGCCGAGGCGAGCCGACTACCCGCAGCGAGAAAAGAGGAGAGAGAGAGAGACACACACATACACATCTGGCGTAGGAAGGGAGAGGCGCTCTTGATGTGCGCTCATCTGTCTCTCGCTCGCTCGCTCGGCGAGTAGCCAGCTCAGCGCGCCGCGGAACGCACTCGACGACGGGCTCTTCCGGCCGCAGCGTAGCCACGCGCTCTTCCCTCGACGCGCCAGCAGCGACGCTTTTTATTTTCTCATCTCGCTCGCTCTCTCTCTCTCTCTCTCTCTCGCACGCTCGCTCACTTCCTCCCTCCCTCCCGCTGCCGCGCTCTCGCTGGCGAGCGCGCGCGCGATCGCCGCTGCGCCAGTTTCGTCGCCTCCGAGCTGCGCTGCTGCCACCGGCGCGACCGAGCTGCCGATCCTCGCGCGTGTGCCCCGAGAGTGACCGCGAGTGGCGATCGCGCCGCCACTGCTGCTGCTGCTGCTGCTGCGTAGGCGGCACGCGTGTGCGAACGTGCAAGTGCAACGGAGCGAGCGAGAGAGCAGAGAGGAGCCTCTGCCGCCGAGGGATCGCGGATGGCGCTGGCGCGCGGCGGGCACTCGCAGCGGTCGACGCCAGTCGCCGGGCGTGCGCCGACGACCGATCGCCGCGGAGACGGAGGTCGGCCAGCGCCACTCGGACCGAGGAGGCACGCCGAGCGCCCGCGCCCGACGCCGAGTCGGAGCGGCTCCCCGTGAGCGCGCAGCCGCCGCTCCGACCGGCCGAGGGGCAGCGCGGACGATTGGCCGCGTGCTCGCGGGCGGCGCGCGCGGCTCGACGGAGGCCTCCCTCCCCGGCCGGCGCGCGATGCCGGCGAGCAAGTGCCAGGCGCAGCAGCACCACTGAGCCGGCAGCCGCGCGCCAGTCGCGCCACTCGACCGCGAGGATGCTCGGCGAGCTGACGCTCGTCGCGGCGCTGCTCGCCTGGGGCGGCGCGGCCCTCGGGGCCGCGCGCCAGCGCTTCACCGTCGAGCAGCTGCTCGGCAGCGAGTTCCCCGTGCTCAGCAGCAACGACTTCGACCTGGACATCTGCAAGGCGGCCGAGTTCCTGGGCGACATCGCGCTGCCGGACGCCGCGTACGAGGCCGCGTGGCGGCCGCGGGAGCCGCGGGCCGCGCGGCGCCGCCGGCACCGGCGGCCGCGGCGGCGCCGGCGCCAGCGGCGCGCCGCCACCGCGCGCAAGGAGCGCATCTGGGACCACGGCGTGATCCCGTACGAGATCGACGGCAACTTCTCGGGCGCGCACAAGGCCCTGTTCAAGCAGGCGATGCGCCACTGGGAGAACTTCACCTGCGTGAAGTTCGTGGAGCGGTCGGCGCGCGAGCACCCCAACTACATCGTGTTCACCGAGCGGCCCTGCGGCTGCTGCTCGTTCGTGGGCAAGCGCGGCAACGGGCCGCAGGCCATCAGCATCGGCAAGAACTGCGACAAGTTCGGCATCGTCGTGCACGAGCTCGGCCACGTGGTCGGGTTCTGGCACGAGCACACGCGGCCCGACCGCGACCGCCACGTGCAGATCATCCGCGACAACATCATGACCGGCCAGGAGTACAACTTCAACAAGCTGACCGAGGACGAGGTGAACTCGCTGGGCCTCGCCTACGACTACGACTCGATCATGCACTACGCGAAGAACACGTTCTCGAAGGGCACCTACCTCGACACGATCCTGCCCATGGAGGTGCAGGGCCGCAAGCGGCCGGAGATCGGCCAGCGCGTGCGCCTCAGCGAGGGCGACATCGCGCAGACGAACCTGCTGTACCGGTGCAGCGCCTGCGGGCGCACGCTGCAGGAGAACAGCGGCAGCCTGGGCTCGCCGGCGGCGGGCGCCGAGCGGTGCGAGTGGCGCGTGAGCGCCACCCACGGCGAGCGCATCGTGCTGAACGTGAGCGCGCTCGACATCCTGAAGAGCGACTACTGCCGCACGGACTACCTGGAGGTGCGCGACGGCTACTGGCACAAGAGCCCGGTGCTCGGCCGGTTCTGCGGCAGCGGCAAGGTGCCCGAGCCCCTCGTCTCCACGGGCAGCCGCATGCTCGTCACGTACGTGGCGTCGGCGCGCGGCCTCGCCGCCGGCCACGCGGGCTTCCGCGCCGGCTACGAGGCCGTCTGCGGCGGCGAGCTCGCGCTCGAGGCCGCCGCCGGGCACCTCGAGTCGCCCAACTACCCCGAGGAGTACCAGTCGGGCAAGGAGTGCGTCTGGCGGCTCTCGGCGCCGCCCGGCTACCAGGTCGCCCTCAAGTTCCAGTCGTTCGAGGTCGAGAGCCACGACGGCTGCGCCTACGACTTCGTGGAGGTGCGCGACGGGCACGCGCCCGAGGCCGCGCTCATCGGCCGCTTCTGCGGCTACAAGCTGCCGCCCGACCTGCGCTCCAGCGGCAGCCAGCTGCTCGTCAAGTTCGTGAGCGACGCGACCGTGCAGAAGAGCGGCTTCTCCGCGAGCCTGCTCAAGGAGTTCGACGAGTGCGCGCTGCCCGACCACGGCTGCGAGCACGAGTGCGTCAACACGCTCGGCGGCTTCGAGTGCGCCTGCCGCCTCGGCTACGAGCTCCACTCGGACGGCAAGCACTGCGAGGACGCCTGCGGCGGCCGGCTCGAGGCGAGCAACGGCACCATCGCCAGCCCGTCCTTCCCCGAGGCCTACCCCAGCGACAAGCACTGCGTCTGGGAGATCGTCGCGCCCCCGCAGTACCGCATCACGCTCAACTTCACGCACTTCGACCTCGAGGGCAACAACGTCTACGAGCAGCCGTGCAAATACGACTGGCTGGAGGTGTCGAGCAGCCTGCGCGAGGCGGTGGTCAAGCGCCACGGCGTGTTCTGCGGCTCGCGGCCGCCGCCCGTCATCACCTCCGAGGGCAGCGCGCTGCGGCTCGTCTTCTCCTCGGACGCGAGCATGCAAAAGTCGGGCTTCGCCGCGGTCTTCTTCACCGACATGGACGAGTGCGCGGACAACAACGGCGGCTGCCAGCACGAGTGCAAGAACACCGTGGGCTCGTACCACTGCTCCTGCCACAACGGCTTCAGCCTGCACGAGAACGGGCACGACTGCCGCGAGGGCGGCTGCAAGTACGAGATCGGCGCGCCCGCGGGGCCCATCTACTCGCCCAACTACCCGGACTACTACCCGGGCCGCAAGGACTGCGTCTGGCACCTGGCCACGACGCCCGGCCACCGCGTCAAGCTCGTCTTCAAGGTCTTCGACATGGAGCCGCACCAGAGCTGCGACTACGACCACGTGGCCGTCTACGACGGGGACTCGGCGGAGGCGCGCCCGCTGGGCCGGTTCTGCGGCAACAAGGAGCCCCACCCGATCCTCGCCTCGGCCGAGCGCATGCTGGTGGTCTTCCGCAGCGACGGCTCCGTGCAGAAGCGGGGCTTCTACGCCGAGCACAGCACGGCCTGCGGCGGCCGGCTGCCCGCGGCCGAGCGCACGCGCCAGTTCTTCTCGCACGCGGGCTACGGGCGCGAGCTCTACCGCGCGCGCATGGACTGCGACTGGACGCTCGAGGCGCCGCCCGGCAGCAACGTGCACCTCAGCTTCGACCGGTTCGACCTCGAGGACGAGCAGGACTGCGGCTACGACTGGGTGGAGGTGCACTCGGGCCTCGAGCCCTCGAGCCCGAGCTTCGGCCGGTACTGCGGCAACTCCACGGGCGCGGACTTCATCTCGACGGGCGAGGCGCTGCTGGTGCGCTTCAGGACCGACGAGAGCGTGCCGCGCGCCGGCTTCGCGGCCAGCTACTACGCGCTGCGCCGCCGCGACAGCGAGGAGGAGCTCGTCGACGGCGAGGACCAGGAGGGCAACGGGCTGCTGCTGTCGTCGGCCGGCCGGTAGCGAGCGCCCCGGCCCAGAGGTAGCCGCCGCCGCCTCCGCCACCGCCGCCGCCGCCGCCCCCGCGCTTTCGCCTCGGAGCGCTCGTGGTCCCGTTTCGCCCGTAACTCGAGCCAGTCATTGATTTATGATGGTGAATGGCTTTAGGAAATATGCAATTGACATCAATCGGCGTAAACAGCTTAATGTTATCCTCAAGTTTATTAGGCCGTGAATGCTCCGCGGATGCACGAGGAGGGCCGAAGGCGTCCTTCTCGCCGCTCCCTTCGCCCTTCGGGTAGAGTCGGCAGAGCGAACTCGCGGCCGATCCTCGGCGTCTTCCGTGGCGAATTTCGACGCGATCACGCAGCGCAATGTACGATGTGAAAATTTCATTTGTAAAAATAAAATTTTAACGAACTTGAACTCTACTCTGTCTCCGTCCGTGATCCAGATTTCGCACGACTCGAGCCAGTAATCGATCGATTATTGCGAATGGCTTTAGGAAATGTGCAATTGACATCAATCGGCGTGAAAACTTTTCAATGATGCGTGGTCCACTGGACCACGCGAATCCCATGCGGACGCATCGTCGCGCGATTGATTTGCGCTCAAGGTGCGCGCCAGGCACGTCGATGTGCTTCGCTCTCACTCTCTCTCTCTCTCTCTCAACGCCAAATAGAGCCAAGTCGACTTTCGCGCGGTCACGATCGCGTAAACACGCCGTCGACGCGACGGCGACTAATCGCACGGCCGAGGCATATTCATTGGATAAACGCACGTCCTCTGCGCTCTCGACGCCCGGATAAATTCATTATCAGCCGCGGGAGTAGGATCGACGCTCGAGTTGCGGAGCATCCCGATGAAACCTTCGCAAGCGACTCGGCTTTCGAGCTTCGCGCGATCTGGATTGACGCGCGCCGGTGCTCGCAACGAGCCACTTCCGCCTGGCGCAGCGTCGACGACGACCGAGCCCGGCGGCGATCGCTCGACGCCCGAAAATTGCCGTCCACGCTCGCGCCGCCACTCGGCCGACGGCGGATCGATACTCGGCGCGTTCGCCACGCAGGGACGCGACGGCCGATCCGAGCGCGCCGCATTCGCAGTGGAAGAGGCAGGATTCGGTCGGCCGGCGTCTCGCTCGCCGGCCAGCCGCGGCGCTCCTGCGATTGGCGCCCGCGGAGGCAGCGGGCCGCCTTTTTCTCGCCACCGTCCGGCCAAGGGGTGGGGCGGCCGCGCAAAATCGCGCGCGCTGCCGGCGGCGGGGCTCGCGTGCCGCCGCCAAGGTCGCCCGCTCGGACCGCGCGCTCGCGATCGCCGCGACGGACGGAGTCGCGTTTCAGCCCCGCGCGCGTTCAAATCCCCCGGGGCTCGCCGCCGCGAGACCAACGCTCGCAGCCCGTCGCTCCCCGGAGAAGGAGGAGGTGCCGTCACCCGGTGCGTCGCCGCTGCAGCCGCCCGTCGATGAGGATATACATGTTCGTAGCACGCACCCACGCAGCCGCACCCGCGCACCCCCGCGCACCCCGCGAGCACTCGAGCACGCCGATCGACCTGGCCCGCGCCCCCGGCCCGACGACGGCGCCCGCGCCGCAGCGGCGCGCGTCGATCGAGCGCCGTCGCCGCGGCGCTGGCCGGACCTCGCCGCTCGGGCCGAGCCCGCGGTCGATAGGCGCCGCGGGGGGGCAACCGCGAGGTCGGCCTCGCGCGACGCCCGGCCAGCGCCGCGGGTCGCAGGGCCGACGCCGATCGATGCCCGCGTCACGCTACGCCTGGCGCCCGCGACACGCGCACCCACCACTCGACGGCGTTGCAGGCTCGGCGCCGACCCGCCGCACGGCGCCAAGCCCGCCGCCCGCTGGGCTGGCCTGCGGGCCCGCCTGGCCAGGCGGCTGGGCGGCGTCGCCGACCGCCTGCCGCGCCCGCGCTGCCCCGCCTGCAGGCGCCGGCCCAAGGCGCAGCTGTGGCCCGGCAGGAGGACCCAGGGCGCCTCCACCATCCAGCTGACGGCACCCGGCGCCGAGGCGGACCAGCCGACGTCGCCGCGGCCGCCACCGCCGCCGTCGCCGCCGCCGCCGCCGCCGCCGCGCGGCCGCTGGAACCGGCTGAAGCAGGCCGCCAGGTAAGCGGGCGCCGCGCGCCTCCTCCGCCGCTCTCTCATCCCTCCGTCGCAGGTGCGCGCGCTGGCGCGAGCGCAGGCGGCGCCGCCGCCTGCAGCAGCTGCGGGTGGCGCCGCTGCAGCGGCCGGGCGCCCGCGAGCCGAGCGCCCCGTCCGCGGGCCGCTGTTGGCGCGGCCTGCTCACCCGCTGCGCCTGCTGCTCCCGGCGCCGCGGCAGCCTGCAGTCCGAGCGCGGCTCCAGGCGCTCCAAGAGCGTGCGCGCCAAGCACAGCCTGAGCAGCGTGGCCGGGCCGCCGCTCTCCGAGGTGGGTGCTCAGGGTGGGGCGCGCCTCCGCGCTCGCGGGCCGCGACTCACGTGCGCGCTTTCTGTCGCAGCGCAAGGGCCCGAAGCTGCACGAGACGCTGGTGGAGACGAGCTCCGTGATGCGCGGCGCCATCCCCTGTCTTCCGATCGCCGTGGCCTGGCTCTGCCTCGGCCTCAACGTCCTCGTGCCCGGCTGCGGTGAGACGCCAGCGAGCCGCGCGCGCGCGCCACCCCCGACCTTGGCCGCGGGGTGCTGACGCGCGCGGCCTGCCGCTGTTCGCAGGGACGCTGATGAGCGGCCTGTTCAATCTGTGCATGGGCCAGCCGCGCTTCTCGCCGACGGCCAGCCCGGCCGCGCGCCTCGGCGCCTTCCTCGTCGACCTCGTCGTCGGCCTCAGCCAGCTCTTCACCGTCCTGTTCTGCCTGGTCGGCTGGGGCTGGAGCATCTGGTGGGGTGTCACCATGGTGCGGCTCGCCCGTGAGTAGACGCTCGCCGGCGCCTCGGCCCGCCACGCCGCGGAATCTCACGTGCGCGTTTGTCTTCGGTCACGTCGCAGGCAAGTGGAAGCGGCACAAGGAGTCCGAGGCGGCCGCGGGCGACCCGGAAGCTCAGCGTGCCGGTCCAGAAACGGCCACGCTGCCGGCACCCGGAATACCGCCGCTGACGTCCCTGAGGCCGGCAGCGACCTCCGAGCGACCTCGTTGACCAGTCCAACCACGCGAGAAACTTTCTTCCTTATCGCGCTCCACCCCCCCCCCCCCCAATCTCCCTATTTGCGAAACATTGACCGAGTCTGACTCGCGACCTAAACTATCTTATCGTCACAAAAGAAAAACCACTTATCTACGTTCCAAGTTATATATAGATATAACAAATACATCGTTCACGTTTTTTTTCAACATCACACTATCATTATAACATGTATAATTATAGACGCTGGAAACTTGGTATTTTTTCAATAGACGTGTATCGATAATCGTCGGCGGCGGTGCGCCTCTTTTTACCGTTTCTGTACAAACATCATATTGGGCGCGCGACCTGTTTAATTGTACCGCTATCGTACGCATAGCGCGGCAGCAACTAACGGCTCGCGTGATCTTTCGGTCGTGGTGGTTCATTATTAATTTTTTTTTTTTCTTCTTTCACGCGGCGGGCCAACGTCTCGTCTCGCTCTCACCCACAACGCAATACTTAATTACGATCATTCTCGAATGTTACTCGCGCCGGCCGTGTGCTATCGCGCGCCCGTTTGCTTCTTTTTTTTCTTCGTAATACGTATACGCGGAGACGAGGAAAGCCGCGCTCCACGGATTGCGCGTTGCCGTGACGTATAGCTGGCGCGAAGGGTAAACGTTTTTAATTACGGAATCTCGCGCGCAACCCCCCCCCCCCCCCTCTCCCTATCCCGCATCTACGCTGGATCGGATCGCGCGTACGCAATTATATCGACGACGCGGACGGTGCATTGCAATACACGCATAATCGGTTTACAGTTTCAATAAGGTATTCCTCTTACTGCTCGATCCTTCCATCATCCTTTTTATTTTTCGATTCAAACTACGTTTCTCCTCTTTATCCAGCCAGACATCAACGAAATCAAAAGTACTGTCCATGTTGAAATTAACATACCAATAATTTTATTTCTGTTAACTTTACTTGTATTTTTTTTAACAAATCACTTTATTTACATCGCTTACAAAAATAAATACTAACAATCATTTTTGTTTTCGTACTACGAGTAACTTTCTCGTAGCGAAATCTTACAAATATGCCGTTCTCGTGCAACAAGTATAGATTATATTTACACTTACTTACCTTTATCTCTTACTTTTTTTGTGTGCCCGTCATATTCCCGTGTAAGACCTGATCCCGTGTGTGTTATGATGATGCATCGAACATGCCGAACACAACTTCAGAAAACAATCTCTCATATGGTGTCGGCGGTACTGAGCAAAATCAAAAAAAATCTAGCAAGAGGTCTGAAGGTAATCTATCATTTGAAAACAACCAAATCAAGTACGTTCTACGTCAATTTGCTAGAAAAGGAAAAGCAAACATAAATTATTATCTTACTGACATTGAAAAAAAAATGTATTTTTGTATTTTGTACTTGTCAAAGAAATGAACTATATGTTATTAAAAGCAAAGGTATAATAAATTAATGTTCGTCTCTTTCTAATATTAGTATCTAATTTTTTTATCAAGTGACAATTGTTTACCTAATATAAGTTAAAAAATGATAAGCTTCTTACTTTCCGAGCGTGTAACTCTACGAAAAAAATCGCGCAATGATATAGAAAAATTAGCGCTAAAGCTTTTCGTTTGACGCGTCAATTGGTTGTTCAGCGGTCGGTTTAGCTTAATTAGCAAGGTTGTAACAAAGATTAGAAGAATAAAAAAACACGGAATTTTAAGCTACTTTATCGAGGGCAAGTTTGAAGACCTGCCGTTCTATCAAAAATGAATAAAACATCGTGAAAAAAATTCAACGTCTAAGTTTGAAGCTTTCTTAATGTAATTGCGGTAGAATTTTGAAAAAAAAAAATTAAATAGTATACTTATAAAGTGCAATCTTAAAAAAAATTATCTCTTCAATGGCTTATTGGATTGACGCCGGACTTGGTAAAAATTATTAAGTAATGATTAAACATTACAATTTTCAAATATTTTGTGAATAATCATTTGAATACCAATCTGCTAAAGTTCCCAACTAATTTCAATAGAATATAATCATTGACGTTGCGCATAAAATGTTTTCTTTTTAAGTAGATTGCCAGTGTTGTCGAATGAAAATACCGTTAGTCTGCACATCGCACTCATCGTCAAACGCAAGAGTAAGTAATTAACGGCTATGTACTATAACAGGCTGTCAGATGGTGGGGAGAGAGAGATTGCAGGCTGCAACCGAGTTCGAGTTACGGCGCCTTCAATTGAAACCCAGCGGAATTTTTTCACTTTCTCGGCAACTAATGCATACGGATTCATTATTTTTCAAAAATTTGGTGTAACTCGACATAATACTGAAATTACATAATCAATTTTCATATAAAACCATTACCAACTATCGTTAAATTAAAGCTATTTAATATCGGCCACTAGCCGTACAATATTTTCGAATATTTCCCGCATAATCCATCATTGCATTGAGGAAGCTTTAAGCTACACGCTGAATTTTTTTTCGCGATGTTTTATTCATTTTCGATAGAACGGCATGTCTCCGAAGTTGCCGTCGTAATAAGTAGCTCAAAATTTCGTGTTTTTTTTCCTTCTAATCGCTGTTAGAACTTTGCTAATTAAGCTAGACCGACCGCTGAGAAACAAATTGACGCGTCAAACAAAAAGCTTTAACACTGATTTTTCTATATCGTTGTGCGATGTTTTTCGCCGAGTTACGCGCTCGGAAAGTCAGTAGCCTATCATTTTTCAACCGATGGTAGTTTCATCATCTAAAGTATCAAATTAAACGACTCGTTAAGAAATAGTATAGTAAATAGTCTCATAGTCTCGAGTGGCAAGAAAAAGATTCAGAGGTATATAATTTGGTTGTATATAGTGTTGATTAACACAGAAGCGAAAGTCAGTACGAAAAAGTTTGTCTGGGAGTAAAAATGAGTTCTGTTTTGTCAAATTTTTTCGCTCTTGTGTTGTATACATTGGATCGGTATGGGTATATCGGTGCATGAGACATGGTGTGGGTGTCAATGAATCGAGTCGCTGGATTTGAATACATTCGAGTAGTATATGTTTAATGATGTGACTTTATAATATAGAGATACGTATGTCGTTTATCCACAAGTAGATTATTTTGTTTTTTACCTTTATCATAGTAATCATAATAATGATGATGATGATAATAATAGTAATAATAATCGTGTTACAGTGTGTAATGGTGAATAATTATGTATAATAATAAGTCTCTAGAAGTAATCATTACAGTTATTAATGAGAACTCAAAAAACAATGTCTAAAGAACAAGTGACTACAAATCTATTGTCGGTATATATCAGCGACTGTACAGCAATGTAGTCTAGGCGTTGTGTATAAGTAGTATATATATTTTTAATCATCATTCGATTCTCCACTGTTTGTTTTTATCAACAGTGGCACGCAGAAATTCGTGTGTTTGTGTCATATGGTATTTTTATTCTGAAATACTCAAATTCCACGCACGGAAAATGTGGTTTTTGCAGCTCGAGTTCAGCGGCAAGTCGACGTCAAAACGGAGGCGTGACAATCAAAAAGGTAATTTTGAACGAGTATCATTGCTGGGCCAGATCATTTCTCGTGTGAATAGAAAAATATGGTGTCTTGATATCGAGCTGCACTATTGAATAGTAGTATATAAAAGGCATATACAACGTAGAGAGTAGAGGGGGATGTTGGAAACAAGATACATCAACGTATGGGATGGTGCATTCAAGTCGAGTGTAGCTGTCAACAGTGTAATAACATCGATTGTGTCCATGAGGGTATAAGTGTGTGTGTGTGTGTTGATGTGTGTTGGTGACGTGTGTGTGGCGT